TAATTGTTACCAAAAAATGCAGTGAGGTCGTGAGAGATGAGCTCTGAGCTGGTTATTGACATCTGTTCAGTATTTGGTACCAGTGAGTCCCTGAATTGTGAGGCTTGCTGTAATAATGATGGTTATTCATTTTCAGACAATAGGCCAGTGATAGCATGCTTAGAAGCTAAGCACAGGGAATAGTAAACATTTGTTCTAGACAATGCCTAGAAATTGATCCAATAGGCAAGCCTTAACAACAGCTAAAATTTGTGTGGTAGTGGAAAAAATACAAATGTTTGGAGTCATATGGACCTATCTTTGCAACTTAACTAGTAACATGATATGGACAAGTAATTTAACCTCTCTAGGCCTCAATTTCCTTATCTATGAAATGAGAATAATACTTAGCTTTCAGGGTGTTATAAGATTTAAACATAAAATAGGTAATTTTCCCAATATTATGTCTATCACATTATATGCCACCACCAAGTAGTATATGTAGAGGCTATAATTACTTTGTTTTCTAAAATCCAGGAGAACATTGATTATTAATACCCCATTAACTTAGTAAAACCTCTTTGCAGGAAAAAGCAAATAAACAACAACAACTAGAAATTTAAAACCCAGGGAAACGTCATTATCACATTAAATAAACCCATCCAAGGCAAGAATGAAAAAAATTACGTTTAGAATTGAGAATTATAGTATTATCCATGCATACTCCCTACTGTCATTCTTTTTTTGGTGAGGAAGATTGACCCTGAGTTAACATCTGTGGCCAATCTTCCTTTCTCTCTTTTTTTTCTCCCCAAAGCTCCTCAGTACATAGTTGTATATCATAGTTGTAGGTTCTTCTGGTTCTTCTATGTGGGATGCCACCTCAGCATGGTTTGATGAGTGGTGCTAGGTCTGCATCCAGGATCCAAACTGGCGAACCCTGGGCCGCTGAAGTGGAGTGCGCGAACTTAACTACTCAGCCACGGGGTGGCCACTGGGGATATTGCTCCACTATCCATAAATGTGGGATAGTTTATTCTTTGGATCATCACTATGGCCCATTTATAATGTTTTAACTTTGCTTTAAGCACTAGGCTCATTTCCTAACCTCATACCATCCCAATTGGTTTGTGGTAGAAACAACTGTGACAGGGCTGGTAATGAGACTGTGATGGAGCACACTGGGAAAAGTAACTGATTGGAGGAAATAAAATAGATATCTATCTTCAAAGAACTGACAGGTGAAGTTGAAAGAAAAAGAAAATTAAAGTTAAAACAAGACCAATGCAGAAACACCCAAACAATACTAAATATGAAGAGTGAACTGAGAAAAAACAGTAATGTATCTCGCACGTTTTATGAGATTTTTGAAGGTAACAGATGATGAGGGCATTGGAGAATGTGTCTGGTGGGGCAGAGATCCAGAAATCCTGGCTGGCAGGGTAGAGAATGTGGGGATGGTGGCTGCGGTTGTAATTGCCAGAATGAAATATCCTGGATCAAGCCAAAGGGGTGAGAGGTACATGATTTTTTTATTATTTCATTTCCAATGTGTCTATCTTCCTCTTCCCCATTTCAAGCAAGGCTAGGTGAAATGGGAGCAGGGATCCATGCCATTGGGAAGAAACCACCTTGCAAATGCCAACCATGCTTTAGCTCAGAGGTTCATACTTATGGAAACCATGTGTAACTAGACTATAACAGCAGAAACTCAGAAATGTCTGCTCCATACAGAAGAAACTTGCCATATGACCTGTTCTAGAAAAGTTACCTTGAACAGTTTCAGAAACATGACACAAGTGAGAGGTGTAACAGCCCAAGGAACAAAGAACGCTAAACTTCTCAAAGCAAACTCCAGAAGAAGAGATGCATCAGCCTTCTACTCTGGATGAAGATAATCCTAATAATTCTGGTGTCTTTCTTCTGTTATTCACAATATCTTTTGCATATTTTCTCCTCTTGATAAACCTCAGACCTGTCCCCATCATACCTTCCAGGACATGACCTTGACTCCTTTTCAGAGTAAGTAGAGGTCACCAGACAAGAACTTCCTGGACTTCTTGCTATCAAAAGGACAAATCTGCCCATATCTGTACCCATGTTTTCCTCTTTCCTGCTGTTACAGTGAAAGAGATGACCCGCTACTTTATCCAAGGAAATTTTTCCACCTGTGCATGAGTTTATCACTCTTGTCCTCCCAGGGACCTTGTTATGTGGATCAAATTCTCTTTCTCCCGTCCCTTAAATTCCCCTTTCTACTGATTCTTAGGACTTAAATATGCTCAGGTATCAACCTAGAAGTCTGTAACAGACATCCATAAGCTAAGTCAGCATTTCTCCTTGGATATCTCAGACATCTCCAACTCAGCATGTCCAAAAGTGAACTCATCATTTGTCCCCTCCCTGCCATAAACTTCCTACTCATCCTCCCTCCCCTCAATTTCTCAGTTTAGGGGAATGGCACCATAACCCAACCAAATGTCAGGGTTTATCCCTGATTCCTCCTTTCTGCTCATTCCCTGTAGCCAATGGATCAGCAAATCTTGCTGGATCTGTCTTCAAAATATATTCTCTAACCAACCACTTCTCTCCATCTCCATGGTCACACGCTGGTTTAGACAACACTCATCTCTTGTCTGGACGGTTATTATTGAGTACTAACTGGTTTCTCAATCACCAGTCTAGGTCTTTATTAATCTATTCTCCATACTGCAGCTGGAGGGATCTGTAAATAATCCAAATATGATCCTGCCACTCTCCTACTCACCTTTAAAACACTGGTTTCCCATTGCCCTTCAAAAAGTCCATGCTCCATAATCTGGCTTACGATACTGTTCCTGAGCTACTCCTACTGACTTTTTAGTCTCATCTCTTGCTGCTTTTAATACTTCAGTCATTCTAAATGTCTTTCAACTTTTCTTAATTGCCATCTTTTCACCCATTCTTTGCCGAACAAAAACTCCTCTGGCTTCTAGACTGAATTAGTGCCCCGTCCTTTCATAAGATACTTTTATAATTACTTGTTTAATTCTTTGCTAAAGTATATGAGCAAGAATCATGTCTGTCTTGTTCGCCAATTTGTCCTCTCTGCTCACCCCCAAACTCCTCTACCAGTCATTCTAGTAATTTGCATAGTATCTGGTGTCTAATATATCCTCAGTAAGATTTGTCAAATAAATTAATTATCTTTCAGAGTTTTGTTATCATTTCTCTTACTGAACTCAGTAGTCCTGATTTCCCCCATGGAGTCTCAGAGAATATAATCACAGCACTTTCAAAATCTCATGTCTATGGTGATGAAGGGAGATAAGCTTAAATGTTGCCAGAAGAAAAAAATGCTGTGACATCTTAGTCATTAGTCCTTAAAGTTTAAAGATTTGTGATAATTACCACTCATTTTCACAAAGGATTTAGGCATTTAGAGACACTCCCTTGTCTCCATATGAAGGTCGTATGAATGTAAAGATATACACGTGATTGTTTATATATAAAGACAATATCTGCCATTAGGTGGGAAGAGTCTTCAAGGTTTTTTGTTTGTTTCTTCTTGCACAGAGATAATGCTATAGACAAGACTATCTTTGGGAGTTCCTATGCGGCCAATATCATTTTAAAACTATTTGTTGAATTCTTACTGGATGTTATATTTCACCTTATAAATCCTTCAATCCTAGAGCCAGGAGCAACCTTCGCTGTCATTTTGGCGTGCTTCCTAGACACCGTCTGGGAATTTAGTCTACAACATCCTTGATAGTCATTACCTTACTTTGGCTCAAGAGCTCTCAGGAATGGGATTCCATTGCTGATGAGGCCACCTGCCCCACCACTAGATGCTCAAGTGTCACAATATTTTTTCTCCTATTTTATTTTACCTTCTCTAAATTAACAACTCTTTTCCTCTCACTTCTACACATTGGTCCTCCACATCACTTTAAGTTCTCAACTTAAAAGCCTTTAAATATTGGAAAGGAAGTGGTAGTGTGGGCAGAGAGAGACACCTTTCCTGAGCAGCCAGTGTTTTGCAGGACACACAGTGGGTACATTTTATGTTACCTCACTAACTCTTTAATCTGGTAGAGTAAAGAGGATTATCCACATTTTACTCAGAGGGAAGTAAAACTTTCCTCATTTGTTTATCTAATGCTGAAATCCAATCTTTAAAAACTCTAAAAGTTCTGAGTCAATAGTCTGGGTGCTAATTTATAACCGTTAATGGATGGTTGCATGGAATTGGCTCCTTTCCACTATTTCTAAAGTTGGGAGCATAGTTCCTATTGTCCTAGGCAACCTCACAAGGATTTTTTTGAAGACAGAGGCTTCGCCAGTCGTGTTAATGAAAGTCTTTTGCTGCATGAACACATCATGGCCTTTGGCAATCACACTCAACGGAACTCTATGGCCCTTTTGAAGTGAGAAATTTTCTCTTACAACTAATTCAAGCCTTGGGGAAATTTTGGCTTATTGTGTCCTTTTCAGATTTGTGGGAAAATGTCGATGCTGGGGAGCAATAATTTTCATTGCAGCCAGAGAGTACCTATCAACACTAAAGCAAGTCCTAAACCATTGGGAGACTAAACAGCCTGGAATAAAGAACATTGACTTCCACGTTGAGACACTCAGGAATGATTTAGATCAGAGTTTGATGATCACTACAACAAACTGTTTTAAAGATACTAACATTCCGAAGTCAGTGTTTGGAAATTCTTAATGAGTAATCCACCGATCTATGTGTATTTGGACTAAAATAGTATTTTGTACTATGTGTATAAATTTTGGTTTTGCTACATTTGTAGGTTTTTAATGGGTTGAATTTTTTTTTAAAGCTACTTGGTTTAAAAAATATCATGTCATCAGATACTATGAATATTTTGTCTTTTAATTAACTTTGTGGGTGAAGTTAAGACAAAAACTCGAAAACCACCTATAATTCAAGGTTTTTGAAAAGTCTTTAACATAATGTGAATTCTTTTGGGTTTCTATTATTTAACTCTGTCTGGGGATTTCTTCTGTTCTTTTATCAGGTTCTCCAACTTACTTATTATTCAAGATGGATAAAAAGTTCTGTAGACTGTGTTCCCACTGCATTTTCCAATGATGATAAGTGCCCTTAAAATTCTTTCAGACCTGGATATCTATCTGTGTGAAACTGATAGGCAAGTATTTCTTTAAACTATTGTAGATTATGTAAGGAACACACTGAAATAAATAGGCCTAGAAAAACTAAAAGAAACATGCCATGATATTAACAAGTTATTTTTGGATCATGAGATTATGGGTAATTTTTTTTCCTTTTCTTTTCCCTTACTGTCCCATTTTAAATGATGGATGTATATTGCTTTTACAGTAAAGAAGGTTTACTTTTGAAAAAGCAGTTGTAGACACAATAATATCCACACGCATGAAATGAGATCTCAAGTATATGTGCAGGCGACAGAATGCTAAGCAGGGATTCAGACACATCTACTGATTACAGAAACAGATTGTAACCGGATAGCCCAGCCCACCTGGCTCTCCTGTGCTGGTTTCTTTACAGATCGCAAATATAACTCCAAACAACGGTGACAGATCTTTGGTTGCAGGTTCTTTCTAGCCCCTTGTGGAAGGTTGGCACGTTCCCCAAACAGATCAGCTGAATAATTTCGGTTTGGACCTGAGAAACTAGTTTAGTTAATCTAGGTTGTTTGGTTCTAAGTAATATATTTACTACTCAGTAACGGAACTAACAAGATAAAAAATGTCTGTATTTATCCAAAGGTAATCAAACTTGTCAGTTGTCTAATCTTGACTTTTAATGGGATTGGCAGAACTTACATTAGGGAAATCAGCTAAGTGCTGCCCCAAAATGTCCTGGAAGAGGTACCAAGTTCTTATCATGAAGGTAAGCAGATGCTGTTAAGTCTAGAAAGCGGGTAGGAACTTCTGTCTCAGTGATGTTTACTAAAAGCTGATTTAAATTAGTAAAACAAATTTAAAAAATAGACTCAAAAATTTATAGTACACATTCACACAAATATACACCTATTCAAAGACAAACTTTTGACAATTTTTATTTTATTCTTTTCTTCATCCATCCATTCACTCATTTGTTAATTTAGCAAATGCTTTTCTGAATATCTTCTATGTGAGAGGCAAAATCTTGGGAGTTGGGGAGTAAACCAAAAAACAAACACAAAAATCCCCGAGTTCATGGAGCTTACGTTTATAGTGCTAGGGAGATTTAAAGAACAAACAAATAAAATAAATAATATGTTACATGGGGATAAGTGTTATAAAGAAAAATCCAGGAAGTGAGGTAGGGTATGCCAGATGGGAGGTGGGTATGGAGAGAGAAGTGGTGCTGTTTTAAATAAAATGGTCAAGAAAGGCCTTCCCGACAAGGTAACTTGGTAAAAGAGATGGTTCCAGACAACTTTAATATTCCTTCACAGATCATTTGAGCAGCAGAAGTGGGAGAGTATTGATCCAGGGTTTCTACTATTTTTGTTTCACATGTCAGTCAACCCTTCTTTTTATGCTCTAAGAGTGGTAGGTTCAGCACAAGAATATGGTTCTTACATGGAAATGATACACAGTAAACATTTTTCCTCCATAGTTATGTGCCTGGTGAATAGACTCACTCAAATGTCACTCTTCAGTGGTCCTATTGAACCAGTATAACTGTATGTATGGACATTAGCTTTTTTCCTATTCATTCATGTGTTTGCTTTCTGAAATTGACTATGAGCCCATTGAAGGCAGAGATGGAACAATGACCTGTTCATCTTGGCAGCCTCAAGGCCTAGCCCAGTGCCTAGCATTTGTCAGGTGATCAGTGATTACCAGCTAACTAAATATATTTTGAAAGTGAAAGAGACATTGACTTCAAACAGTTTATGAGATGAATTCCCAAGGGCCACCTTTACCTACTAAATTGTCCAAAGTGGATAACTGTCTTATACCATGGTGACCTCTGGACTTCAAGCCCTGTAGGGACCCGGCATCAAAGACTTGCTCTGTAAAATAAGATGGTCGTGTGTCCCCGACAGGGATGCTTTCAGTATAAGCAACTCTAAGAGGTTGCTTCCAGTCCCTTTTTCCCGACAGTGCTATAAAATGGGACAGCTGTCATCCCCACATTTTTTTCCTACCTCTGTGACAGATAATCTGGTTTATATCTTCTTTCTGAGACCATGTGGAGGAGTGATATTTGTCACACTAGATTAAGGGGGAAAAATTATGACAGCATGTGATATTCACACTTGGGGGAATAATAAAAGGGAAAATGGAACCCCAAAGCTGTATTTGATAATAGACTCCTGATTCTAGACCTTAATAATTGTGTGCTTTTCTGGGCAAGTTACTGAATCTCTGTGAATCCCATGATCTCATCTATAAACTAGGAATAATAATCACTACCTCCCAGTATTGTTCTGAAGGTGAAGTTGGATAACATATGTAAAGCATTTGGTATGGTGCCTGGTACATAATCTGGGTGTTCAACGGATTATTGTTAATATTTTTACTACTACTACTAATGTTACTATTGGAAAACTTTGACAAATAAGATATTTTTTTTACCAGTTATCAAACATTTATGTGATCACTGAGGATAATGCTCATAAATATATTTGGACTTTAAAATTTATCTTCTTCTATATATTTTTAATAATATTAAACCATGTTTATAATGTTCCTGAAAGTCTTACCACTTAAAAATGCAAAGAAAATATGAGATCTGTATCAAAAACATTTCAGCTGCAAAACGGGGTATTTAATAGGGAACATCTCTGCGGTCTCAGAGCACCACACATGCTAACGAACAACTTAGCAGGCGTTTTGCCATCATGGAGGTTGATGCAGTCTCTGTCACTTTGATACTTGCAGAAAGATACAGTCAATGAAAGTCATTATCTTTTCAGGTAGGAAAGTGATGCTTTTTTTTTTTTGAAGAAGAAGTTTAGCCCTGAGCTAACTACTGCCAATCCTCCTCTTTTTGCTGAGGAAGACTGGCCCTGAGCTAACATCCATGCCCATCTTCCTCTGCTTTATATGTGTGACACCTACCACAGCATGGCTTGTCAAGCGGTGCCATGTTCGCACCCGAGATCCGAACCAGCGACCCTGGGCTGCCGAAGCGGAATGTGCACACTTAACCGCTGCGCCACCGGGCTGGTCCCGGAAAGTGATGCTTTAATGGGGTCTGAAGCCTAGTCTGATAACTTTCTTTTCTTGTTTCTTTAGAGTCTTGAAGTATAACTAAGGACAGAGACCACCACTAGGCACAAACATCCCCAACTTGCATGATTATAGAGATGGTCTGTCTGATGCTGAAAATGTCTCTAGTGTTTTGACAACGGCTAAATAACCATGGGGTCCAGCGGACTTGGGAAAGCAGCAACATTAGATGAACTGCTGAGTACTTGCATTGAGATGTTTGGTATGAGCCTTTTCTCTCTTTTGTATATCTTGACACCATCTCTTCCCCCTTTTCAGATGCAAATGTTGCTGTGGAACAGATTTCAATCTCCATACCTTGGAATTTAAGGCCTTTTTGATTGACCCCAATCCATTTCCCCAGTAACACTGCTCTCTGCATTTCCTTCCTTTTACTGCCCACAGTTCATACCCCAACCACACTGTCTACTTAATGTTTCTGGAACATTCCCTGCATCTTTCTACCTCCTTGCTTTTGTCATACTCCTTTCATTGAAATTCTGCTTCAAGGCTCATCTCAGATGTCATCTCTGATGTTCAGAAAACCATTCCCAGCCTCCCATTCAGGAATGATGCTTGCTTTCTCCACCCTCCCACAGCCTCTTGTAACTTTCTAATAGCACATGGCATACGCTGCTGTGATCCTTTCTTGGTCTTTTGCCTTAGACAAGTGTGGGTAGCACAATCTGTGGGATTCTATATTTGCATGTATGTCTTATATCTCCTACTGGGTTTTAGATTTTACAGCTACATGCTTTTTATGTTGTTTATGTATCCACCTCAGCATTTTGGATTATTCCTTGCACAGACAGAATCATAAAGGAGTTGTATGCTGAACTAATTGTTGTAGGAAGAATTAAACCAGAGTGGGGCTGCCAGATAAAACACAGGATGATCAGTTAAATTTGAATTTCAGAGAAACCATATTTTTAACATAAGTATGTCCTAAATAATATATGGGATGAACTTACACTAAAAAATTATTAGTGGTTTATGTTAATTTGAATTCAACTAAGTGTCCTATATTTTTCTTTGCTAAATCTGGCAACCCTAAACTGGAGGAAGAATGAGACCGACCCACTTAGCTTGCGAGGAAATACTGGCAGAAGTAGGAGGAAAGCGATAATTGAGTCTACAAGAAATTTTTGATGCTAATGTCTCTCTACTGATATTAGGAAAAGAGAAGAGTAGTATTGTTGTCTCCTCCCGCCTCATTGTATTTTATTTTTTAACAGATGACAATGGAGAGCTGAATAAGAGTTATTTGCCAAGAATAGTTCTACTGATGCACCGATGGTATTTATCTTCCACCGAACTGGCAGAAAAACTTCTCTGCATATATCTTTTCAACTACTGTGTAATTTTTACAATCATAAATCAAGTTCTGTATTTAGATAAAGTGTCTAACCAAAGCCAGTAAATTAAGATGAATAAACAGCCTTCAGTCAGTGATCCAGCTGTTTTGAGAATATATATAGTGGCTAGACAAAACAGCTGGAAGATGGACCAAATAGTTGACTATCCATCTGGATGTTTTGGCTCTACTTGAAAATAATTGCTAGATATAAAATGAAACAGGAGCTGTAGGCTGAATGTTTCTAACTTGTCTTAAACATTTCTGCTGTTAGTACAATGAGAGAATATTTAGCACCGATTCACAACCTAATTTACTTCTTTTAGGATGACAAAATGGAGGACCTAGAGGATACAGCTTAGATGTATGGAAATGTCAGCCAAAATAATATGATCCAGCTCACTCACAAACACCACCTAGGTTTTCACATCTTCCCTTGCTGGCAAGACACAAAGAACATTCTAGCAGGTTTCTTGTAATTTGTTGGTTGATATTAATTTTAGATTTTCTTCTGACATAAAAGCAAAAAAAAGCATAGTTAGAACCCCCATTCTATATTAAGGGCTTTTAGCAGACACCGCTTTTGTCCATAATGCACTCCTGAAAGGTGGTTGAAAGCCAAATGACTGTAAATGGCAAAATAGTCTCCCATTTATAAGGAGCTTTTGTTCCCTAAGGGCTAATGTATATTATATAATCCTAACGTTGGTTCCTGAAGTCTCTGCCTGCTTCAAGCCCAGGGAGCCCTGTAGATGAGCGAGAAGACTTACAGGGCAGGGAAAGCCTAAGAGGGAAAGGGCCTGTTCAGTGTTAGGGGCACCTGCTCACTTTAAGCTTCCCCCACTTTCTGCTTCTTCCCTTTGTCCTCTCCACAACTCAGGGCAGAAGGGGATGTTAGAGAGGATAATGGGACATTCACCCCAAACAGAGATCCCTGGAAGTGAGCAAGATCCTAGTCCACAGGGGTCCAAGGGTTCCATGGGTCCCACTATTACGGGTAGCGCATAGGGAAGGATGGAGAGGATTGACTCAGTCTGGCCCTATCCCGTCTTGGGATCCGACCCAAGAATGTGCCTACAAACAGCGTTTTCATTAATATGTCCACTAATGTATGAAACACAAGTAGAAAAAGATATTTAGGCATAGTAAAGTCTACTGTCTGAAAGTACGGATTGTAGAAAAGTTGAAACAGCCTGTGAATCAACATTTCTTTAGATTTCCCCCCCTTTGATTTCTTGCTCACTGTATATCCACAGGGCCTGGTAACTAGAAGGAGCTCAATAAAAATTTGTTAACAAGAGTATGAATAAACAGACTTAAGGATAAGTTACAATACAACCCGTGTATTAATATACCTAAAAATGACATTTTCAAATACTAAAGAAATTAGAGTACTTAGATAAGGCATTAATCCTAAATACCCAAATCCTTTTGGCTAAAATGGTGCTTCTAGGTACTATCAATTTTAAATTATCTATAGTTGGCAGTATATTAGTAATTACTGTTGACAGTCATTACTTGGTACGTGCTCAGGAAGGCAAAACTAATTTTGAAAGTGGCTTCCCTTCCAGACCAAAAAGTACATGCCAGGGTAATAATACATCAAATCTCAGTTATTCAGTGTTGATGTATCAGAACCCACTTCTCTCCCCATTTGAATGTCCACATAACCCAAGTGTGCCCAGTATGGCCCTCTTATTAGGAATTCATCTAAACTGATCAAACAGCTGCAGGTGTGAGCAAAGGAAACAAAGTACAAGGGTTTTTTCTTTAACTAGCGTACGTATCGAAGTGCCAGTGGAGAAAACTGTGATGAATTTCGACTAAAGATCTGCTACTTCATAAGGTAAATATCCTTACAAATTTAACTGTATTGTAGTTTCTCGCTCTGGAGTTGTTGACAATTTCCTTTTCCCCAAGCAGCAGACCTAGTTTGACAATAGGATCAGCTCAGATCCCCATCCTCTTGACTTTGTTAAAATTGGTCCTCCTCTGTTCTTGGGGGTAATGTTTCTCTTTCTTTTGGACTAGAGATCAAGCAGTGGTAAATGGCGATTAGGGAATGAAACCAGCTCATTTTTCCCTCTTCCTACACTGTTCATATTCCCATCTGCTTCCCATGAATTGAGAGAAAGACTTTCTCTCAGCTATGGTTCTAGAGGGTCAGAAAGAGAGGCTCAGAGTGAGATTGGTGGACTTGGGTCCTTGATTTAAGGAGGGAAGTGTGAGACTCCATGTGATGGATGGGGGATAGGCGATTGCTAATCTGAGTTATGGTCCTGGATTCATTGTTAAATGTAATCTATAAAATGATACAATGGTTCCCATAGAGGTCTAACTTGAAATCTTCCAGTTGTCAAAAATATTTGATGCCTTTCAGGTACTGGATTCTGAAGTTTCCTGCGGAGTTTAATTTGGACCTTGGTTTGATCCGTATGACTGAGGAATTCCGGGAAGTAGCTAGTCAACTAGGATATGAAAAACACATCAGCCTCATCGACATATCCAGCATGTAAGGGTGGTACACATTTCTTTAAACACGATGAGTCCACTGTTTGGGGGAGGGAGTAGTGATGACCCCACTTGACCTCAATTCATGCCATTTTAGAGTCAAGCTGTACTTTTTTGAAGAAAGCCTTACTGCAATGAGCGCAGTCCCAGTAGACATAGCTCATCTCTCCAGGCTTCAATTTCTTTACTTGCAAAATGAAGATAGTACCTTTCTCCTGGAATTATTATGAGCATCCCCAAAGTACATAAGATATCATGTGAAAGCATTTGGCACATAATAGATACTCAGTATTTAGTTACTGAATCTAGTTAATGTCTCCCATGCCCTTGCCACTCAGAATGTGGTCTGTGGACAGCCATATTGGCGTCACCTGGGAGCTCAATGGAAATGCAGAATCTCAGGGCCCACTCTAAACCCGGTGAATTGGGAACTGCATTTTAATAAAATCCCCAGGTGACTCATATGCTCATTCAAGTTTGAGAAGTCCTATAACATGGTGCTTCTGAGGTCAGCCTAAGGCTATGCAAATGTTGACCATAGTTGTGTCATGAACTGGTCGGCTCAGTTATTAGGAACTTGGTGCTAATTAGGCTAGTATTTTCTATCAACTAGTTAACTTTGCACAGAGAAAACTATTTTATGAGCCTAAGTATGGTTATCCATCTTGCAAATACATGCTCTAGTGTCCTAGGCATTCATACTCTTGTCTATTTTCCTGGAATACTTCTTTAAGAGTTATCAACAGTGAGTAATCCTGGAATCATTAGGGACATTGTTAGAAATACAGATTATTCAGGTTCATTCCTAGTAAATCAGAATCTCTGGCAGTGAGGTCCAGGCCTCTGTCTTTATAACAAGCTTTTTAGATAATCCACATGTTGCTAAAGCATGAGCACCAGCTTCTGGTGGTTTCCATGTGCCTTAAATCACCACCTATATATTGATAAACTCTCAAATTTATATACCTAGCCCTGACCTCTCCCTTATGATCAAATCCTACTGGTCATAAGAAAGACCAAGTAAGGGATTCTGGATGGATCAGTGCAAACACACCCTGTCTGGAAAAATAACTGGAAGTTTATGTTCTATTGGCAATGGGTCAGCGGTTTTCTCCTCAAATATGAAGGACAGGGTGTGTATTTTGCACAAGCCCCTGGAAGCAGGCCAAGAGTTACAGAGTCAGTAGGTTAATAACTTCCATTGAGTGAAATGGGCTTTCAGCACATTGACCAGACTCACTTTTCTTTTATAGTCCTTCCTATGACTGGATGAGAAGAGTCACACAGAGGAAAAAAGTATCCAAGAAGGGAAAAGCCTGTCTGCTGTTTGACCATCTGGAGCCCATTGAATTGGCTGAGCACCTCACTTTTCTGGAGCATAAATCTTTTAGAAGGATCTCAGTAAGAAACTTGACATTTATTCTTCCAAGGATAACAACCACCATGCCAACTTTCCCAAGAGCCGCGTTTTCATGCTCTGAAGTGTTGGCAGTCTCTGTCACTGTGCTCCCCTGGAAAAGTGCCCTTAATTCACGGGAACAATCCCTTTTAACCAAAGATAAATATTATCCTGTCTTTTATTTTATGGCTCAGGAGCTATATTTCTGTCGCTATTTTCAATGTCTCCTTTCATAGGATTAAAGCATGATTTTCTAAATTCTCAGCGGAAATTTAACCATTCAAGGTTTATTTCGTTCCATTGACTTCTCCCAAATGAACATGTTTTCTTAGGCCCTTCATTTGGGGGAAGAAATATTTATTTGGGTTGGGATTTGTATAAATGCCTAATTATGGGTATAGGTTGAAAATAGGAATTGTAGGCTTTGAGGAGAATCTCAACTTCAGGTTCTTTCTTTCCCCGGATGGAGATCCTGATTTAAACTTTTCTTTCCTGCTCTGTCTTAATAGCCTTCCTTCTCTACATCCCTTTTCTTCCTCCTGTCGGTGGTCGCTTCTCGGCACCTACTCATTCTCCACTCCTTATGATAATATTTCCACAATGGTTCACAATCAGCCTTTGTCTTCATGTCAGCAAGCTCTGGGGCAGTCCTCCTCCTCCTCCTTCTTTTCTAAGATGCCGGGGAAGGAATTACATTATTGCTTGCAAAAAAGAACATGAGGTTAGAAGTATGGATTTCTGAAAGACCGATTCTTTTCACCAAGCAATCCTACTTGCAGAGGACCTTCATGATTCCCCACAGGCAGGCCATGAGTGGGAACCCCCGTACTGTTTACATGAGAGAAGGCTCATATGTATTTGACAGCATCCACGCTGACTTCCTGAAATGTGTCTGTTTTCTAACGAGCTGCCTTACTTCAATTACTATTTTTTCTTGAAAACCTTTACAAAATTATTCTGACTTGAAATCATTATATTTATATTCATTTCCTCTTCTTTAATGTTTGCCTTTGTATGTCCAACTTGCCTGACCATTGGAATCACCAGTAGTGGATGAAAAATGGAGTTAGGTTTTTCCTCTAGAGATATTAACCATTTAGGTCTGGGGTGTTCCTAGAAATCATTTATTTTAGCAAATGCCCTGGATGGATCTTATGATCCAGCAAATTTGGGACTCACTGGAATGTGACTTGGAGCCTTGTCCTTTCCTCTCCCCCACCAACACTGTGATGTGTATATTAAGTGTGTCTCTGAGTATGAGGGAGTGAAATACAACAAAATAGCATGCCAAGTGTACATGTATATCCAACTTTTAAGATACCGTTATAAATGTGAAGTGAAAGAAATCATTATGTTGTTACGAAACAATATCTCACCTCTTCTATGCAACATTCCAATTTCTGGTTTTGCAAAGACTCTGTGTAATTCAGAGTCTCTGAATCTTCCTTTACTAGTTCACCGATTACCAAAGCTATGTCATCCATGGCTGCCTGGAGAATAACCCAACTTTGGAGAGATCTATTGCTTTATTTAATGGAATCTCTAAGTGGGTCCAGTTGATGGTTCTTAGCAAACCAACTCCCCAGCAAAGAGCAGAAGTCATCACAAAGTTCATCAATATTGCCAAGGTATGTAATTCTGGTAATTAAACTGGGGTTCTTAAAGGATTCTAGGTGTCCATTCACTTCATTGAGAAAAGTCATTGAGGAAATTTGGGGTTCACAATATAAAAGACAATTAAACTATTATAAATGTCTAATAAACAAAATCACACTTCTCTCATGCAAGAAGATTGCTTTTAATTGGCAATACTTAGAACATTTAATGTAGCTATTTTTCTGTGAAATGATTGATATATTTTTCTAGTGTAATTCATTTGTACTTAATTCTAAACTGATATTATATTCCCTGATCCTTATTAAAATTTTGCATGCATTCACCTGTAATTCAGAAAGGTCAGAATAATTGAAAAATTGTTACAAAGCATTGATGTTAACAATTTTTTTTATTGCAGAAGCTCCTTCAGCTCAAAAATTTTAACACCTTGATGGCGGTGGTGGGAGGCCTTAGTCATAGTTCCATTTCACGCCTCAAAGAGACCCATTCTCATCTTTCTTCTGAAGTTACAAAGGTACAATGGATTGGATCCCAATCCAAAGTGAAAAACTCATTTGTAAATTGTTTGGGGGAAGGACCCTCCTAACAGATGTCACTCAGAGGGGGGAAGTTTTCTTAGACAATGGTAGGTTACACATGGGGGACAAAATAGGAAGGGCATGGTCACATCACCTGGAAAAACAAGTTGAAAGTGGTGACAACCGTCCCAATAAGAATGCCTTGCATACTATTAACCTATTGCACTTGTAAATATTCAACAAACATGTGTCTGATACTTACTACGTGATGGGCACTGTGATACACACAGGGGGTGGGTACAAGGGAATAAGACAGAAATTATTCCTCCCCTCCCCTCCTCAAATGAAGTCATTGAACACCTGCTCTATTCATAGCACTGTGTTCGACACAGTGGAAGATACAAACGAAGGGGGAGAGGTGGGCCTTGTGTAGAAACTCCTCAAATTTATAGCTGAGTTGTCAGGAACAAAAATATATTTTTTAAACAAACAATGATCATATCTCAAACCGAGCTTTTCTGCCATATTTATTTCCAGACCAAAATAATATTTTTCCTTATTGAGCACAAAAGAACATTTCATCCTTATGAAAAGATCTCCTTGTAAGAGTGTACTTCGCTGTATCACTGAGGACACTCAGCTGTAAGTTTAAAAAAAATCTTGAGATTGCTTAAACGTAAGGAAATGGATCGTCTCACATACCTGGAAGTCTAGAGGCAGGGCCGACTCCAGGCCTGGTCTGATCAGAGCTCTGGCTCAGTTGCTCTGCGTTCCTCTGAGTATCAGTTTTTCTTTTTTGTTTGTTTTTTTCCATCTGACTGGCTTCCCTCCTGGTTGGGTTGTCTGCGGCAACAGGAAATTTATGCTCTCTTGTTCATGACGGGAGAACTCTCTTCAGCTCTGCCCCCATGGAATTAAAGATCTTTTTAGACAGATTGGACCATCTCAAGTCTCATGCCCACCCCCACCCCTGGACCAGTAACAGTTGCCAGAGGAATACAATGTACTGATTGGCTTAATTCTATGTTCCTGAACCAATCATAAACCAGAGGGATGGAATGATGATGATGGTAAATCAGAACCCATCCTTGGACCAGGGCAAGGAAACAGCTCCCTCTGAGTCACATGAGCTGCTTTGGGAAAGAGTAGACTGATCAAAATTGGGGTCTGTTAGGAAGGTCTGGTTGCTATTAGGCAACCAACAATAACTTGTCCATACAAACAGGAGGATATAAGCCAGAGAAGCACTGTTGTCTGACCTCAAACACTGCACTCATTCCAAGTGTAATGGGGCTCATTATGTAAGTGTTTCATTTTCCTTTAGCTTTGTACTGAATTTCAAGTAAAGAGCAAAACACATTTTAAATGTTTTGAAGAATGAGAATTCAGTGTAGGCTCCTAGGGGCTTGGAATTACCAGTATGTCTTCAGAAATTATCTGCACTCCTCTTTCTTACAGAAAAGGAAACTGAGGCTCCCTAAAGTGAAGTGACTTGCTTAAGGTCACCCTTCTAGTTAGTGGCAAAGTCCAGAACCACAGCTATCTCACACCTCAGTGTGACTTTTCCTACCCCATAAAAGTAGTATCTCAAATGCAACTTTATTGGAACAACTAGGAAATCTGAATATACTACATACTTTAAATAATACAATACATGCTTGTATTTGTGGACAATAATATTTGCATGAATTGCAAAATACTTTTTTATATATATATATATAAATCATATATATATATGATGCTACTTAACATCCCAACATCCCTGGTACGTAGGCAGAGGTGCAGGCTCTTTCTGTTTTGCAGCAGACTGGAACAGACTGTCCAACTCATAGCCAGGCCTAGTACATTTTTCTAATTTTCTTTTTCTCGGTTTATATTTCCTTGCATCAACGTTGGTGCAATTGATACCTCTCTCAGTAGCTGATGAATTTTCTAGCCACACACTGCAGGGTCTGGGGGTGGGCAGAAGGGCAGGCTGTTTGAAAATTCTACTTTTCCATCTGTTCCCAGAACTGGAACGAAATGACAGAGCTGGTCTCTTCCAACGGCAATTACTGCAATTACCGCAAAGCCTTTGCCGACTGCGACGGCTTCAAAATCCCCATCCTTGGCGTCCACTTGAAAGACTTGATAGCAGTCCATGTCATTTTCCCAGACTGGACAGAGGAGAACAAAGTGAATATTGTGAAAATGCACCAGCTCTCCGTTACCCTGAGTGAACTGGTCTCCCTACAGAATGCCTCTCACCACTTAGAACCCAACATGGATTTGATCAACCTGCTCACGGTGAGTCCAGGGGACTGGAGTTTGTGCTAGTAACTGTTCTCCACCTCACTTCCCAGCGGATGCAGGGAAGATCTGTGCCAGCAGTGCACTGGGTAGGGGGGTGGAGATTGAGTTCAGGGTCAGTATATAGGAAGAAATCTCAAAGGATGAGGGGAGGGGAACCCCACACACACAACCAGCATGACTTGAGACTAGAATCGCCAGGCAAAAAATATTCCCTTGGGTTTGAGGGGCCTGCTCTCTGCCCCTATAGCTCCCGCTTCTGGAGTTCTTAGAGAGGCCCTCCAGACCCGTCCTCAGCCCCTCATGTTCTGTCACCACACTCATCTAATTAATCAGCTCCCTCTGGACGTCCTCCACTCATCTGCTTCTTCTTATCCTCGCTGTGCTGCTATAGCTGAAGCCTGGAGTAATGCAAGGACCTCCCCTCTGATCTTCCTGCCCCCCACCAACCTCCTCAAACTTCCAGGATTCAGTTCCCGGCCTGGCATCTGAGGCCCCTCAGGACTCCTTTTCTGTCAGTCTAGACTTATTTGTCATCACTCGATCCCGCATCACGCCTGCCTTTGAGGAATATTAGACCTACACTTTCCACCACTATCTGCTGCCTTCTGCTTCCTGGCCTTTGCACTTTCTTGGAAAATCCCTTCCCTGCCCACCTCTCTGACTAGCTCAAATTCAAAAGCCTCTATCTTTCTGGAGCATTGTCTGTTCCCTTTCAAAACAGCAATGTATCTGTCATGTGTCGCCCTTGCACTTGACACTTTCTTAAATATAGGAAGTATCGCTTTGCATTAGATTTTTTTCTGTTTACTTGCCTTATACATCACGTTCCCAGCCCCTCTCATGGTACCTGGCATATTTAGGAGCTCAACAAGATAAGTTGAATGCTGTATTTAGGAATGATGTACATCAGACAGAAGACATTCGCCTACCATTCCTATTTTTTGGCATTCGTGGCACACACCTCTGCTGGTCTCCAGGTCCTAGCACTTTTAGACGCAACAGGTGTGTAGAAGAGAACATTTCCCATTGGCTGCTTCTTTGTTGGGGGAAGAGGCATAACCAAACTCTCTCACCCTTGCTTAGACAAGCGGAGGAGCAACTTCCCTGTTTGAGTTTATAGCACTGTAGCATCTGAAACTTGGCTGCAATACTGAATTGACTATTTTCCTTTGATGGCCATGGAAAATGAAAACAGTAACCCCTCTGAAGCTCTGAGAGCCTAGATGCCCCAGAACTGCTGCATTGGAGTAAGAGTGTGGCTCCCAGACCTTCTCACAAGTTATTGCTAGAGCATGTAAATTGTTTACCAAACAACAAAACCCCTAAGTGTACGCAGTAATGCCAGCCGCATCCTTAGTATAAAGCAGAAGTGGCCAACACACAGAAACACCAATCTCTTGGGTTCGAGTTTGTGTGGCAAATAGTAAACACACATTCTCTATTGGGGGAAAAAACCTCAATAATCCCGGCACCTGCATTTATTAATCATTTGCTATGTAAATCTGTTGCCATGAATAAGTGACCAGAGTTGCAGCCCCAATGAGGCTGTAAACCCACAGACACAGGTGATAACTGTAGACTAGTCTCAAGGTGCAACCAGGTTTCAAGCGTCTGTATCCAGGCTGTCCCCACGACGTGGAGGATCACTTCACAGAGCAGATGCCTATACTGGGGCAATGTCTCATCCAGATAAAAGATAATGATGGAGCAGGGAAACTGAGTTGTAAATGAAGCATGCAACCTTATGACAGATATTTAGAAAAATATTGAAGGATTTTGAACGAAATTTTGGGGGTGCAAATGGAAAATCTGAACTCTACAAATAAAAGCTAAGAAACGATTCCATTTTGTTGGAAAGGAAAGAAGAAACAAAGAGGATGCCAGCTTAATCTCTCTCTCTCTCACTCTCAAAGGTGTTGAAGGAAAATTTAGAAGCCACCAAACACCATACTTAGTACTGGCAGTGCTATATAGTATAGCGTGGTGGCAAGAATCTTAGATCCGAGATCCGGCTTTTAGCCCCGCCTCCGCAGTTACCCAGCTTTGTCTCGTTGCTAACCAGCCTTGACTCTGGATTGTTTGTAAAGGGTTTTGTGCTCATTTGTGAGGTCTCTTTCAGCTCTCAACTTCTATGATTCTAGATGTAAGGAATGGTGGAGCTTTGAGAATAAAGAACCAAGTGTCAACCTGATTCCGTAGTTCCGGCCCAGCGGCTCATCAGGCCAGCACGGTCCCGCATATGAGTCACTGATCATCAAGCCAATTTCTATTTAAAGCCAAGATCCTTCCTCTCTCCCCACAACTGAGGAGAAAGTTCAAGGCAGAGAAATATTCATGCATTTCTCCTGGCCCCTGGGGGATTAATCTCCTCAGAATGAGGACTGAGGAGATTCCCATGGGGCGTTTGCTGGAGTCCGGTGAGCATTTCATGAAGCGCACACATGTTGGGATTAGAACCATACGATTGACTGCGGCTGCCCAAATGCATCTGAGGGGCCGATTCTTTTGTAGACTGTAGGTCAATTTTCTGCCATTCTAATCGTGGCCCCAGGTGACGTAGCTGATATATGATTAACACCCTGGAAGATGAAAAATGAGAGCTCTTAAGTGAATCAACAACCACTAAATGCCTCCTCTGTGCAGCAGGCTGCCCGGCAATGCTCGAACTTTCTGTAATAACTGAGTGCAGTTTTCACATACCTTTCTTTGGTAGATTCTCTCAAATGCCCCGTTTGTGAGATGATGCTGGGGCGGAGCAGCGAGTATAACATCACCCCTTCCTCTTCCTATTTTACAAGTGAAGAACCTGAGATCCATAAAGGACCAAAGGCTTGCAGAGGGCAAACTTCTGAATCCCAGCCTGGGGCTTTTTCTCTCTCGGACAGTTTGCCTCTGATTGATGTTTCCTCTGTAAAGTGGGCATATTGCTGACATTTATTTTATTTTGCAGCTGTAAAACTTAATATCTCTCTCTCTCCCTCTTCATGGATGTGTAGAAAAGGAGTTAATTACAGGACAAAGTCTCTGAGGGCGAGGACCGTGTATACCATTTTTGTCGTTGTAACCTTAGTCCCCTGCGCAGCACTGGGCGTGTGAAGGAAGGAGGGGCACACCACCAGACTCCTGGGATTTGGGTTGTTCCCCTTTTCACGGAAGATCTGGAGAAGACGTTTACCACTGTGATCCCGGTTCACATAACCAGGAGCTTTCAAAGCTGAGGCTTCTTATTTTGTGGTATATGAAATAGTCTGATTCTTTTGATAGTATTTTTAGATCTATCAGTTACGTTTACCATTCTGAGTCTATGCAAATAAGTGGAAAGCCCCTGTATTTTTACAGTCTCATAAAAAAAAAAAAAAAGAAGAAGAACAATTGCAAAAATGGTGAATGTAGATAATTTGATGACCAAGTGTATTTTATTTCACAATTCTCCAGTGACGGCAATGCAGGTTCTAATGTGCAGGATAAATCTACAACCCATCTTTGCTGATAGGATCAGGCGTGAATGCAACAACCTGAAATAGTGACTCAGAACAGTTTTCAGAAACAACCAAACTCAAAATATATTAGACACAAGCAAACCTTCTTGAAATCTCATTGACAAGCTGCCTGTTATAAAAAAAGTGTGTAGGAAGTAGAACAGGTCACTCTGTGCAGGGCTGTAAAGCCCAGAAGAGATCTGAGAAAGCAAGTAGGATCATGGCTGGGAAAGCAGAGAGATGCCAGGAGTGACCCAGAGGCTGGCTTTACATTCATGGATGAGCACAGTGGCGTTTGGCTGCTGCATTGACTGGAAGGCAATCCCTGCAGCCCCCATCCATGTGGCCCTCTGAACAAACCTCATCAGACACACACGAGCTCATTTAATCTTCACAACACTCCTGGGAGGGAGCTTTTTTATGATTCCCATTTTACAGATCAGAAGACTGAGACTGAAGAAGATTAGTGACTTTCCCATGTTCTCACTAATCAATGGAGAGCAAACATTTGGAAAAGACCAAAACGTTTCCATTATAGGGTCAGATATCTATCCATTTGACATATAAAAACACCCAAAGATGTTCTGTTTCTTTTGAAAGAGCATCCTCCCCACTTCGTGTGTAGCTTATCTGGATTTCTGGTCAGATGTTCCAGCAGTGCTGCCATCCCACCTTCAGCAGATGCCAGCATCAATCATCAGTGCACAGTCAGGCCTTGGAGGCTGAGTTAAGAGGAAAGGAAGATGCTCATCAAAGTCTGGATTAACTCCTGATAACAAGGAATTCAGAAGGAAGAAATCACTTGGTTTTCTATTTGTGTAGCATTCACAATGCAAGGCGGCAAGCTGGACTGGGATTACAGAGGTGGAAAAAACACATGCACTGCTTGCTTTCATGGGGCTGAGAGACCAGCAGAATCTTTTGGGGAATTTACAAAATGGTGGGCAACTGCCAATGGCAGGTGTGTTTTGTTTGGCCCATGTAGAATCATAAAAATTTTTATTAGTTTCCACTGTTTAAAAATTGGGATGTTTCATATAAAACTCCAGATTTTTGACTTCTCTTGAGAAATTAGAAGATATGGCAACTGTTGTCAGCCTGACGACAATTTGCCTCAGTGGAGTAGTGGTTGTTGCCCATTCATCAGAGACCACACCTCTCCCTCTTGCTTCCCTAACACAGAGACCCAGCGTCAGATCCCATTTATTATCACAAATTTTTCTTATCGTCAAGCTAAGAGGAAAGATCCCTAAGTTAATTACATCTGCAAAGACACTTTTTCCAAATAAGACATTTTTATACCGATGTCTCTATCAAAATCTCTCTTTCATGAATCCCGCTTCACTCTTGTGCGATGGGCTGACTCCTCAAGGCATTTGTTTGTGACCTGGGAATGGTTCCTTTCCTGCAAAAAGGCAGAGCCCCTGGGAGGCTGGAGTGACTGCTGTTCAGGGGAGGGTGGATATAGTTTCCATTCTTTGTGAACTTTGGATTTTCATGACCTGAATTGATGCTGGGGAAATTTTATAGTAAAATCATGTCAATTTTATTATGCTTAGAAAAGAACTCTAGGTGACAAAGTCTAGGGAAAACCATATATGCCCTGAGCTATGAAATCCTTAATTTAAATGTTACATTTAGTCACTAGAACAGTGACTAAAATGGTCTGTGGCACATATTATGTGATCAATGAATATTTGTTGAATGAATGAATGATTCAAAAATGACATTTTTAAAAATTTTATTTTATTTTATTTTTTTAAAATTTACTTTATTTTTTTCCTTTTTCTCCCCATAACCCCCCAGTACATAGTTGTATATTCTTCGTTGTGGGTCCTTCTAGTTGTGGCATGTGGGACGCTGCCTCAGCATGGTCTGATGAGCAGTGCCATGTCCGCGCCCAGGATTCGAACCAATGAAACACTGGGCCTACTGCAGCGGAGCGCGCGAACTTAACCACTCGGCCATGGGGCCAGCCCCCAAAAATGACATTTTTTAATGTCTACTTTTTTAAATAAGGTAGAACAAGAAGATAAATCCTTGAAGGACATCCTTTGCATCTGAGTTTTCTCGTTTCTTTCTTTTCCCCTCACTCTGCACCCATACACATTAAGTTGTATCTTTAGACAAAACATGTTGGAGGAAATTTTTCATGCCTAAGTGGTTGAAGAAAAGAGAGAGCATGTGGTTATCTTCTGCTGATGAAGTGGGTGATGAATTGGGTGTTTAACATTGAAGGACATGGGTGAGAAGGAGCCAGTCTTATTTTAAGTCTCATGACTTCTCTTTTGGCGAAGGGCACTGTGCGTTTTAAGGTTTTACAGATTTCCTCAGTGCTCTCCAATCTTGGTCTTGTTGTCTTCCTTACCCTGATCTTTCTCTCCCTCTTCATTTGTCCAAGTCCTCTCAGTTAGGTCCCAGTTCACAAATGCCTCTGTGATGCCATCCTGATCATTTCTGTCTTCACTGGCACCTACCCGTAATAATATTATTAGTAACAGCTATAATAATAACAATAACATCGACAACACTAAATGATGTTTCTTGAGATTTCACTGTGTACCAGATCCCGTGTGGCACTTCACATGCATTACTCCATTTGATCCTGATAAAAATCCAATTCAGTAGGGACTTTTATGGCCACGCCCATTTTACAGATGCGGAACCTGAGTGGCAGAGAGGAAATAACCGGTTCAAGGTGACAGAGCTAACCAGTAGCAGGCTCCGCATTTAAACTTGGGTTTACCTGACTCGAAAACCTCTCCCTCGTGCTTTATAGGCTGCCTCCCTGAACAATTCCTACAGCACTTAGAGTGCGGCAACTTACTTCACACTTAGCATGTGTTGCCTTTTGTTGATATGAACACATCATTTTGTGTGCAATTCCTATTTATTCAAATAAACCGTCAGGCCCTTGAGGGCAGGAAATGATTGTATACCATTTTCTATCACATGGACTTAGCACAATGCCCTAAAATAATAGAAATCTATTAATTACTCCTTTGTTTCTAGAATTCTTTGATCAAGCCTCTAAGACAGCATTTATTGCATTTACCAGTCTTATTTTACATCTCTGCCCCTGCTTCAAGCCTGTAAACATCAAGGATCCCTCATCTCCAGCTCAGCGCTTCGTAGCTGCTCAATAAATATTATTGAGGCATTGAGTCAATGGTTCTTGTTGATGCTGATGACCACACAAGGTTTAACCTTTTCTTTTTAAAATTTCATTTTCCACACCTGCATGCCATCTTTTTACTGTTCTACATTCGCTCAAATTATTAGACACTGGGCTTAAACATTCAATTTGAAAAATATTTCAGCAATGTAAATAAATAAATAAATGTGATCCAACATAATTATTTATCCATTCTAATTTCTTGTAGCTTTCTCTGGACCTCTATCACACAGAAGATGATATTTACAAACTGTCACTGGTGCTGGAGCCTAGAAATTCTAAATCGGTAGGTATTGTGTCCTCTCTAAGGATCAGTGCCAAACACAACAGTTTGTCGTTTACAGATATTGGCCATTACAATGGTGCTTTGTGATCTAGAGATTGAAGGTGAGTTCTCACCTGCATATAGGACCAAAAACAACAAACCACAGCTTATCTTAACGTTAAAGATGTTTTAGACGCTTCCAGGCTTTTAAAAAAATCCCCTTCAATATAAAACTAGATTTAATGAATTTTAAATACTCTCATCATAATTCACAAATTCCTCTTCTAATGATTGACTCAGCTCAGAATTTCAATATCACATTAACTAGTGTCTCACTTAATTGATGGCTGACTCTTAGTAAAGAAACATTCTATAATGAGATTGAGAACATTGTTTTACTGAATGTACACTGCTCATTAGTTTTAGCAAGTGGACTGTATCTTAGATATGTTTTGCACTAATTAAAAAATACCTGGGTGAATTTGAAATTTACAGTGAGGATGAGGTTTGCATGTTGAAGGAAAAAGTGTCCATGTTCACTTCTTTTTTTTTAATTTAATTTAATTTAATTTTTTTTGAGGAAGATTAGCTCTGAGCTAACATCAGCCGCCAAACCTCCTCTTTTTATGGAGGAAGACTGGCCCTGAGCTAACATCAGTGCCCATCTTCCTCTGCTTTATATGTGGGACGCCTACCACAGCATGGCTTGCCAAGCCGTGCCATGTCTGCACCCGGGATCCAGGCTGGCGAACCCTGGGCTGCAGAGAAGCGGAACATGTGCGCTTAACCGCTGTACCACCAGGCCGGCCCCTGTGCTCACTTCTTATACTCATATCCTGAGATTAGTTTTCTTATAAAGGTCTCATGCATTACCTTCTTACCAGTTGGACTCTGTGGAATGTTGCCAGTGACTATAGACCCTAAGTCTGTCCATCCGTTAATACCTGCTGTGATTCTGAACCCTCAGACTGAAAGAGGCAGAATGACTGCAAGAGCTGTTCTCTGGTGCCAGGAGGGCATGCACTTGAGTCTGAGTCAGTGGACCTGGTAGCATCCATTTTTAAAATGGTGAGTGTGGTGGTTCCATCAGCACATGCAACTCCCTGCCAGTCCCCAGAGGCCCTTCTCCTGGGGACATTGCAGAAGATACAGCACAGACAAAGTGAGGAGTGGGGACCAGACACTTCAAAGTTAGCATGGCTAAGACAGAGCTAGAGAAAGGTAAAGTTACCGAAAAAACAGGAATGCCTAAGCTCCACCCTCATTTTGCAGCTTTGGTGTGAGGAACCTGGCCGTGGTGCAGTAAGCTGTACTGTATATGCGCACGCAGCGTTTCCACCTGCAGACACATTCCTTTAACCATAACCAGGCACCTGAATTGCTACCAGTTGGTTTTTAGATGCCTGGCAGGGCATCATATATGTGTCATCTCTTTCATATGTTAAGGAACTGAGTCTGGTGAGCAAAAGCGTCTCTCACGGGCCACACAGCCAGTAGTGGGAGAGGTGGGATTCGGCCTCAGGCCTGTCTGTGTTCAGCGTCTGTGCTTTTCCTGCCGGGCCGCGCTGCCCATCATTTTCCCAGCACCCTTGTATCAGGAACAGGGGAGGAACAGCCCATTTATCATGCTTGCCTGCTTTGTGCTCTTTAGATTTACCTTGGTTTATTTTCAAGATAAATTGCTGCCAATTTTAGGGGACATTTCCATCAAACATGGAAAGTCTTTTTATCATTTGTAAAAGCAGAAGCTTTGAAAGCCCCTTCAGAGTGCTAAAATCCTATGGGTCTGTTAAAACACATTTCCCAGTCTCTTTCTGTCTCTTCTCTAAGGGAAATGTTATCCTAGTTTGTGCTTAGTATTCCTTTTTTTTTGGAGGAAGATTAGCCCTGAGCTAACTGCTGCCAATCCTCCTCTTTTTGCTGAGGAAGACTGGCCCTGAGCTAACATCCATGCCCATCTTCCTCTACTTTATATGTGGGATGCCTACCACAGCATGGTGTGCCAAGCGGTGCTATGTCCGCACCCGGGATCCGAACCAGTGAACCCCGGGCCTTCAAAGCGGAGCGTGCGCACTTAACCGCTGCGCCACTGACCGGCCCCTGTACTTAGTAATCGACATGTGCTGATACTAGGGAACAATATCTAGTCAGGATGACGTTACCGAGAACCTGTCACCTCACTGTGCTTACAGTGGGTGTCGACTTCTCTAACCTGAATAGTTAGTCCCGGAGCTCCTCCGCCTTTTTCTGTTCGTGGCACCCTCAGTGCCTCACTCGCTCTTCTTTGCGTTTTACTTCACGTGTCAGATTTTTCACACTCCTACTTCCGAATAAAAACCTGAGCATGAATTTCTAACCAAAAAGGCTTAATTAAATTGTGTTTTTTCACCTCTGGGTCAGAAGAAATACCTAACGGTTCCACTTAAAGAATAGTTAGATTCAAGCAACTTAGCAAACATTTTATGTTCTAATGACTTAGCGCCCATTTGAAAAAAATGACATACATACATTGAAAAAAAGTTTTTATTTCATTCCTAAGTAACCACAATTACTTACTAAAGGATGTGTGTACCTGTTGGGCACTGTACGGTTTCTTAAATTCTGGAATTAAATTTTGTTCTGCTGCTCTTATTTCTTGTTCCACATTGAGTTTTTTGCTTTGTAAAGATATGGTATCGTTGAAAGAAATGTAGCACGATCTAATGGGTGAATTGCGAACTACTTCAAGCTGATAGTTCGTGTGGTGTCCGACAGATAGTGAGTAGCGCTCTGTTTCCCTTGGACATTTGAAGCACCTTTTGGTGCGCTCTGAGTTCGCTGCAATGCTTCAGGCAGGGCACCTAGCTGTATGGTTTGGGAACCGTGGGTTTATCCTTTATCAGATCAACAAGATGAAAAGCTTGATAGAAAGAGCCATGATGTGTGCAGGTGTGTGTGCAAGTGATTGTGTGTGCATGAGTGTGTCAGTGTGTGGGTGACCAAGCCAGACAGCAGGTAATTTTTGCTCCTGTTGGTAACCCACGGGAGACCAGCAACACCTACTTCACAACGTGGTTAGGGGCTTAAATCAGTACAGTTACTCCTGAGTTCCTCTTGCAAAAATGTTTATTCCCAATTCAGTATCAAGTGAAAAAACCCTGCTAATACAGGTTTGAATGCATGCGCCAGCAAGAATATTTACGTTGTCTGAGGGTCCCAGGGGGAGGATGCAAAGTGCACAGCATTCTTGGCTGGTCTCCTGATAGGGCTGTGTTTCATGCTTGTGTTGTGTAAAGATGTTATGCATTATCGCCACCATCTCCTTCTCATTATTAAGTGAAAATGTCTTGCAAGAACCTGGAAAAACCTGTGGAGAAAGCATGTTCACCTAAGAGGGCTAGAAAGACCTAATGATTAGCCAAACAGTCAGAAGTGATTAAGCATATCAAGAGAGATGCTGGCATCAGGACATAAACTTGGCCGTGCACTGGGACCCATTTACTGCACATGTCTACTAAATTATCACTAACACCAAGTATTAAAGAATTGCATAAGTAATGTTTTATATATGTTGTATTATACAAAAATATGTCTGAATTGTATGTATGTATGTATACATGTTTGAGAATGTTTTAGTAATATTTGAGGAACTTGGGTAGGATTTTTGGATGGGCTAGGAGAGCAATATATTTTTTTCCATTTAAAATAATAGAACCTAGGCTGCTGCTAAACAAAATGCACAATCCAAGCATGTATTCGGTTACAGATTAGATTCCACTGACAGAATATTCCACTGACAAACATTCCATCAGCGTTTGTTTTCAAAACATTTAAGTGCTACATAAACATAAGTCTTTAATGGTATTATTAATATAAAAAAACTTATATTTCTTTCTCAATGTCCCTGGTCCTAATTACTCAAGGCTCCAGAAAAAGTTGAAAAATGTGTGTATTTTCTATCAGCAGCCTACCTCCCCTACGACTCCCACCAAGCCCGTGGTGCCCCTGGAGTGGGCATCAGGAGTGATGCCAAAGCCAGACCCCACGGTCATCAACAAGCACATAAGGAAATTAGTTGAGGTAAGTGGTTGAGGGAGAGTAAAGAGTGAGGGCTAGAAGACCCCTTCCTCTATGAATATTTTCCAGATACTCTCTGGTTGTCCAGGAATCAGATGGAGTCCGTGAAAACAGCCCTCTGGAGGTAGGAACAATTCAGCAGATACTTAGGTCTACCTGGCGTTGGGCTCTGGAGGAGAATCTCCCAGAAAGGCCCCCTTTCCCCTTCATGTCAGTCTGTTCTCACTTGCCCAAATACTCTCATCTACTTCTAACTCCTAGTTTTCCCAGGCATTTGACACCTCTGTCATTGTCCCTCAACCTAAGGACTGTTCATGGATTAGAATCTACTCATTAAAAACCCACATAGGTCACAATAAAATGCCTGAACAATTGGTTACTTGAGGGTAGGAAAAGATCCTGTAGGTTGGGTAGTTTCTCTGGCTATACATATTTGGGGGTCTGTGACACAGTAGCACAATGCCATTTAGGTCAGAGACATCACTTAATGAAGGGCAAGGCTCTGTCAGAATTTCCATATAGAAAGAAGAGTAGGGGTGCCAATGTGGGAAAAATGGAGACATCTTAGGTACTAGAAACTGTGATCCTTGATTAAACATCTCCTTTAATGGATTGGAACATACTTTGATGCCATAGGATCAAGTTTTTGGGATATAATGTGCTTTTTGATAGGAAAAGGTGTTTAAAGAAAAAGAAAGAATGTTCTACATCTTGGTTCGTCCAGGAAACTATGCGGTGCTGAAAGAAACGTTATGCGGAGTATCTGAGGCAGGAAGGAAAGATTAGAAAGTTGAGGGAAGGGGCTAAGAAAGCCATAAGGTCCAGTGGAGGCCACATGATGATACAGTAGTAACAGACCCAACCTGGAACCAGGGAAGGTGGGTAAAGGATCCAGGGTGGATGGAGTTGTAGCTCAGGAAGGTCTGGAGTCAGGAAATGGAAGACACAGCTATTCTTTCTCCTACTCTCGTCTCTGCTTTGCTCTGAATGCTTACTCCATTCTCTGCAGACAGACTTTCTTTGCTCCACATGGGAAGTCTGTCTCTCCCTCCCTCCCTCCCTCCGTCCTGCTCTCTCATTCTCTCTCCCTCTCTCCTTACCTCTTTTCTCTTCTCTTCTCTCAAATTCCAATTTCATGGGGAAGGTTGGCCCAGTTTAATAAATTGCCTACTGTTGGTTTAATTAAATGAAAGACTAGGTTCTATTGTGAATTTTCATACTAACTATTATTCCACAAAAAATATTGTACTCTCAGTATAAATATGGATATTAGACTATAAATAGTAGGCACTCCATAACAGTTAATTTTAATGGTAGATAAGTATTAATATTGGACTTGCAAAAAAATGTAATGCTTTGTGACTTTGCACAATTCTGTTATCTATGGATAAACTTACAATGGGTGCTAAACAACCATATTTTTAATTAAGTAATTTGTTCATTTATATTTTGCCAACTTCCCAAAATACTCCTAAAGCAGCTTGCGACCTAGGGCAATATAGATAGAATAGACAGAAACCATAGGAAAAAGAGAGAAAGATTCATTCTAACTGGACTCTAGGTCAAATATATGTTTGCATACATGTGTTTGAAGGGAGAACTTACAAACCATTTTGAAAACCCAACTTAGTAGAGAGCAGTGGAAAAATCTGTTTTATTTTTCTCTGATTATAAAGAAAGCCCGAATCATTGTACATAATCAAACATTACATAAAATACAAAAAATGAAAAGTTTTACTTTCAGGCCTTGGTAATTCAACTCTCTAGGGATAACCACTGATGATTTGTAAATGAACTTATGTGACTTTATTCTCCCCGCACATACATATACAGACACACACATGCATATACACGTGTACGCCTTTGAGAAGCCTTGTTCAGTTACTTCCTCAGGACAATTCCTAGAAGTGGAGTTGCTGAGTCAGAGAGTAAGCACTGATTGGCCTCCAGAAAGATTGCGGCTGTTTACTTCACCAACTTGATATGAGAGGGCCTAGTTTCACGTACTCTAGGAAATTATCAATTATCTTAATGTTTTCCAGTCTGAGAGGTAAAAAATAAAAAGTTTCCCTTGCACTTCTATAATTATTAGCAGAGCTGAGCATCTTTCCGTGAGTATATCGGTCATTTGCATTTTTACCTCAGTGATCGCCTATTTTCCTTTTGTGTCTTTGTTCTCGTATATGTTGCAAATAATTTTCTCTATTTTTCTTTAAGTTTGTTAATTGAGCTTTTTTGATTCAGATATTTTACATTTTATTGTAATAAAATGTTTTTGTTTGTGACATCTGACTTTGATATGCTAAGAAAGGCCTTTCTCACTGAAAGATGATAAAGCATGAAAAATACTTTTATCTATTTACCTTTGGTGCTTTTACAGCTTTATTGCTTTACATTAAAATATTTAATGCATCTAGACTTTATTTCGGCGGCAATTAATTTTGTCAGATTATTAGCCATTTAACTCAAAAGCAATTATTGGAGAATCCATAAATTCCCTGTGGATTTGAAAAGATACTCTCTGATATTCTGAATTCCTATATACACAGGGATCTGTTTCTGGACTTTACTCTCTGCAGTAAGTTACAATGCCGTGTTTTGATTAATGTAGTTTTGTAGGTTGTTTGATTTCCTATAGGGCTCATTCTCCCTCATTACTTCTCACCTTAAACAGTGTTAGGCTCTTCTCAACATGGTCACCTCTTTTTTAACTTTAGAGTCAATTTGTTCATTTAAAACAAATTCCCACTGGAATTTGATTGGAATTGCATTTAACGTATGCTTTAATTTTTGAGATAAACATTTTAAAGCTGCATTTCCTATTGTTGTAGTATTGGCTTTTGTGAATTCCACAAGCCTAACTCCTGCTCAACCCTGAGGTTTCAGTTTAGACCTCACTTTCTCCAGGAAACCTTTTAAAATCTCCTTCCCATCTCCCTGCAGTGCACTCTGTTTTTGTCCTCAGCATCGCACTTATCTTATTATACCATAGAGGCTTCTTGATTTCATTATCTCTCACTAGATTCTAAGCCCCTTGATAGAAAGAATAATATGCTAGTTATCATTGCTTTCTCAATCATGAGTTCAGAGCCTGACTCACCAATAGTCATTCAATAAATATTTGTCTTTCCTTTTCAGTCTGTGTTTAGAAACTATGACCATGACCATGATGGGTACATCTCCCAAGAGGACTTTGAAAGTATAGCTGCCAATTTTCCCTTCTTGGATTCCTTCTGTGTGCTGGACAAAGATCAGTAAGTTTTCATTTTGTTACATTTTAATGCAACTGTCCTGAAGCAGAAAATGATTTTCAGAGGAAAGCAGGGGAATCTTTAGTTTACATCTTGACTGCTTCAGTCTTAGTGTGTTGACGAGCCAAAAGTAACTTTTCACTGATTTTTCCTTGGTGCTCACTGACATGACTATTTGGATGGACTCACAAGGCAGACCGCCTCATCAATGTTGGGTACAAGTACTCATTTGCAAGTTAACCTGGCTCTCCATTTCCCATATTACTTCCACTGCTTAGCTAGTTCATCAAGCCCAAAACCGCCATGAAAAAAGAATAGAGGAGAAATATAGTTAGATCTAGCCTGGGAGAGTCCTCAGCACCAGTGGGCCTGAAGGCAATCTTAAAACTCATCAAGTAAGTAAGATTATTTTATGTTACTCATGGTCTTTAGGAGAGCAGGTGATGGCTGCAGATAGCTAAGAGATGGCCATGCTTTGTTTTTTTCTTTGCTAGTCAAAGGTTGTATATGTTTCTCTTTAGCTTCAAATGATTCCTGAAAAATTAAATGGCTTTAGAAGCTAAAACCCAGCTCATTAAAAAATAATGATTAAAAAAAGTTTTTGCCAAGAAACCCTGACATTAATAATTTGATTGCTTAATTTTTAATTAGTTCCTAGTTTAGAAATCAACTGTAATGAAATGCTGGATTTTCATATTGGTTAAATATCCAAATTATATCACACTAAAATCCACTAAATTTTTGTTGGTGTGAGGATTTTTTAAAAATAAAATCGGTAAGCAATTCAACACATCAAGGAAAGACATCATAAATTGCTTAAAACCTTAATTCATCTTCATTGTGTATCTAGAACAAAGAAAACTTCTTAAACAAATTAAATTATTAGAAACATAAAATTCCCTTAGAAAATAAAATTTAAATTGCCTGCAAACTACCCACTTCTTCCCTTACTTTGCTTCTGTCAGTGGCATACACATAGGACGTGGACTTAAAATCACTTCCTAGTCTTCATTTCTTTTCTCTGCTGGTTCTTTAGCTAGAACTGAGATTATCCAAGCAGATATGTAAATATCTATAATTTTTCTAAAAACGAAATTTGGAGTATTCATAGCTCCCATGATTTCTTTTCAGACAGTTTAGCTATGTTGGTTTTGAGAGGACAGTGAACCATCCAGGAAGAGATTCTAGCAAGTTGTTGACGATGCGGTACCAAGAGTCAGAACAGTCAGGGCAGGAGATATGAGCTGTTAGGTCTTCAGCCCAGCTGTGTAAGCTGGAGTCCCAGAAGTGTGAGCAAATTCTGATGGGAAAGTTTAGAGGAACATGAGCGTGGGGCCTGAGGAATGCAGCTTCGGGGACTCCTCTCCCCACAAGTAGAAGCTGAAACGAAGAAGTGGGTTCTGCAGAAGAGCTGGAGAAGGAGGAGCCTGAGAGGCGAGAGGGAAACCAGGGCTGCATGGAATCACAGGTGTCCATGGAGGAGAGAGTGTCAAAAAGGAGGAAACCTGTCCCCAGGTCACATGCTGCCAGGAGGTCAGCAAGTTCAAAGAATGAGAAAAGGCCATGAGGATGTCATTGTGACAGGTTCAACAGAACGGTAGGGCTAGAAACCTGATTATATGGAGTAAAGAGTAATTGAAGGAAATGGAAACAACGTCTAATAAATACTCTTTTCGAAAACTTTGGGAGTAAGAGAAGGAAGAGAGAAAAGACAAGTGTTGGAGATGGCAGAAAGAATGAGGAAAGACATTTTTTAAGAGGGGAAGTCCTGAGTGTATTTATAGACAGAGGAAGGAGTGGGTAAAGAGATGGAGCAAAACCTGGTAGGAGCAGTGTCCGGTGGAGGCTGGAGAACAGGGGATGGGAGCATGACTGCCTTCGAAACAGGAGCACCCCAAGAGAGGACAGATGAGATATAAAGGAATTCTGAATTGGCACAGAAGGATGTGGTCTCCACACACGCACACCTTCTGCTTACTAAGAATGACTTTGGCACTTAAAGCTGTCCTTTGAGGTCCTCTGTTCCTTTCAGATGTGACAGAGATGTGAATAGTCCCCACCTGCTTTTGGCCACAAAGGTTGGGGAGGTGGATGATTAAAGCGTGGCAACTACTTAGCAATATGGTATTCAAAGATCCCTCACTTCTTGGATTCTTTTCACAGGGATGGCCTAATAAGTAAAGATGAAATGATGGCTTACTTCCTGAGAGCTAAGTCCCAACTGCACTGTAAAATGGGACCAGGATTTGTCCATAATTTTCAGGAGATGACCTATCTCAAGCCAACCTTCTGCGAACACTGTGCAGGATTTGTAAGTCTGTTTTCCATTGTTTTCTCTTGTATGGAGTTATTTGTGTATCATTCTGAGAAGATAGGAAAATGAGACACTAACGGAGTCCAGCGCCTGCCTTAGATCAGAAACAAAACAGGATGGCTCCTTGAAATTAAAAATTAAATGAAAAGCAAAAGCAAAATCTGCGGGGTTAGCTCTGTTCTTTCTAGGAATGTAGGGCTGGTGAAGACAGGGAAGGTTGATGAGGCCTGATAACTCGAGAGCGGAGTGTCTGTAATCCCTGCCAGGAAAGGTTCCACCCAATGGCCCCTGGCCTTCATCGCTAATACTCATAAATGAGTACAATTAAGGGGAGTATTCATCTTAGCCAGTTCCTCCCAGTTCTTGTTTCATATGGTGTCAGTTACTAGAAATCCATCATAGCATGGCTCAATAATTCATAACTCAAAAAGGAAAAAAAAAGTCTTTCTGGGGAGGAGATGGTTATAGTAATAAATAGCATTTACTTGGCACTTGACGGTAAGGAAGTACTTCCATGGACGTTAGTGTAATTAATCCTCATAACTAGTCCCTGAGGTGGGCATGTGGCTCTCCCCATTTGCCTATGAAGATGGAGAGGTCCAGAGAGGATAACTCAAGTTTCCCAGGATTTCACAGCCAATAATGAACCAGGGCTGGGACTCAAACACAGGTGTTCTGACTCTGAATCCTGTGCTCTGCCTGCATCACTGCAACAAATGAAGATTGTACACTTCATTTCCCCACACTTGGTAATTCTTTGACAACTAAATCTGGCTTTGGTGCTCATATTAAACAAATACTCTTGGGCCCTGAACATCTTCTAGTTGACACGCAAGTTATATAAAATGGAAATTGTGGTACTCTAGTTGAGGGTGGCCCAGCAGCCAGGTGAGTATGACTGTTGCTCCTCTGTTAAGATGCCAGAGCTCAGCTCTGTTAGCTTCGTTCGGGAGTCATGGCTCACTGGTGACCCAGACTGAATTCATAGCTGATATTATATGCTACCACTAAATTACATTTTTCCCATACTATGCTTGAAGAACTGGCTGTGACAGACCCAAAGGGAGGGGTTTGTGTTCAAGCACACACCCCTCTGAGCATGGGTAAATAAGAGGCAGTGGTTACCTCAAAAATGGCCTCAGGTAGTCACAACAGCTGATGTCATCAAGGGCAAGGCCGGCCTAACTAGCTCCTTTCACCCACCCCGGGGAAGGAGAGGTTCTTCTTCTAGTAGCTTTGCCTCTGGACTGCATCACTTGACCACTTTATCATACAACGAATACATCTCCTTTTTCTTGTTTCTCACTTCTGATGGGAACTTTTGGATGTATCTAGACCTGAAAAATGCTGAAGTGGGATGGGGCCATGTGTAACTCTCTCCCTCAGACTGGGGCCCGGTGAATCTGTTGGGCCATGGCACTGCTCAGCCAAAAGTCAGGTTGAGACATCTGTCCTTTGGTGTGGTGTGAGAGCTGGAGGGCCCTTATCATATCTCAAGATCTTATCTCTGCTCTCCAGCCCTTCTGGAGGTCTCTTCCTTCTATGGAGTCACTGGTTCTGTAGAAGCAGAAAGGTAGTTTTTCTCAGGGGCTTCCACACTCCTCTCCCCAACTCATGAAAGCAGCTTTGCTGGCACTACGTTCTTGAGGCAGCTGTGATGAGGTAGAAAGCTCTGGACTTGCAGTCTGGAACCCTAGCTTTGAATCAAAATTCTGCCCCTTATTAACTCTATGTCTTTGACCAACTTCTTGACCACCTGTGAGTGGTTGTTTTCCTATCTGTAAAAGGGGGTTAAAACTTACCTGTCATGTTGTTGTGGTGATTAAATGATAGCAGACGTATTGCATGCCACATAGCTCAGAGTAAATGTTTCCTTTTTTTTAGTATTCCTTGATACTTTTGGAGTTTAATTGAAATTAACTCATTTAAAGTTTTGATAGCCCTTTTTATTTTTTCAAAATATATTTCATTTCATTGGTACAATTTGATTTGATCTTTACTCACACATTTTTTTAAAGTCCATTGGTTTTTAAAGGGATTTATAAATTTAACTCAGTAGATGTGTTCTTGGAGGGAATTGTGGGAGAATGTGGAGGAACCATTTTTCAGTGCCTGGACCACCTGCTTTTGAAATAAATTCCATCTTAAGGGTAAGGAGGGCAAACAGACACTAGTTGAAATGTATTTATTTTAGAATTAGAATTCCAGAACTGAAAGAGTTTTGCTAATTCCCTTACTTGAGGTCTGGAGAAGTTAAGTGACTTCTTTAAGGTCACATGGATCATTAGCAGCAGGACCATGACTCATATCCGGGTCTCCTGACTCCCAGTCCAGTGCTCCTTATACCACAAACATTTGCTCCAAATCTGACGGTAGCTTGAGGTCTCAAATCAAAGGACTGTGGGAAGTACTCCTGTGTACCAGCTACATGAGGTCGCCGTCTCCTGTCCTTGGCTGGCACGCTGACCCAGAGCCTCTTCCTGCCTAGAGTCATCTCCAAGTTATTAAGTAATCATTAGCAAGCGATGGATGCGCTGATCTCCCCTCCTGATACCTACCACTCATCTCGACTATATCTTTTTCAGCAGTTCCTGCAGCTATGCTAATAACGTGCCATATCCAGATATTAGGATGCTTCTTCTTAAATCTTATCCTTTCTTTTCCTAGATCAGTAGCTTTTGCTCACACACAAAACACCCAGGGCAATGGCTTCTTGTCTTTCCCTCAAGTGACACATTCTCCTTCCCCTACTTACTAGCTATGAGACCTTGCCAAGTGACTTCACTTCTCTGTAGCTTAGTCTCCTCATCTGTAAAAATGAGAAAATTATTATTACCTATCCCATAAGGATATTGTGAACATTAAATGAGTTAATACACATAAAGAGCTTAAAACTGTGCCTCTCACATAGCGAGAGTTCAATAATCACTAGCCATCATGATTATTGTTGTGACTACTACTAAGGGCTCCCTTAGAAAACAATTTCTTAACACTACAAAGTTTCCCAGATGTGAGACCTTGCAAATTATTTAATTCCCTGGATCATCACACTCACCTTGTATAAAAGAGAAGCAAACTAGATGATCTTAAAGATCCTTATAGTTCTGAACACGTGATTGTCCTGACCACCCACTTCCCTTTTCTGTGTTCACTCCTCCCCATCCCTCTTCCAGTCATCCTAAGCACCTGACGACTTGCTTCCAGTTAGTTGTCTTAATAATTCTTCCTGTCCCCAAAGCAAAATAATGCCCTGTTCCAGGAGACATTTGCATCTTAATAATGTATTCTGAAGGACCAAGTAACTTTTAAGGCTCAGCGGAATTATTCTCCACTGGTGGAATTTCCTTGTCAGAAAGAAGGCAAGGGGTAGCCTTCCTAATGCCCTTGAGTCACTTCACATTGGCAGCTATTCACTCTTCTCATTGGGCCATGATGACACTCAGGACATTGTTCCCCTATAATACATTGTGAACACACCCCCATCAGCCTCAGTAGGCCATGGGCCCTGTTTCTTTCAAATCATTTTATTAAGTAGATATCAGCCACCTAACCTAAACACTAAAAGGTTGGGAATGGAGCTTCTCCAGCTTGAGCTCAGCCCATTTAATGCATCAATATTTGTTAACGCATGTTTCTGGTGTCCCTGGTACCCATGTGCAAGTGCTGTGGGAGGCACGAGAAAGAACATGGGAAGGCCCCTTCTTTATGGAGTTGATGTGTGTCAGGTGGGCAAAGACACCACCACCAGGATGATGCCCCTGAACTGCTGGGCAAAAGCTCCCTCCTGGAACTGTAGGCCCTCTCATCTCTCCTGAGTCGTTTGTCACTTTCCTCCAGCCTGCTTCCTACTTGGTTGGCAGAATCTCTGCCTTTTCTGCATCTCCCACAGCCTTGGCACAGGCCAAACACGGAGCAAATACGGAGAATGAATACATGGATAAATGGCAGATATTCTTCTCTTCTGTATTCCTTCAAGGTACAAATGCTCCTCAGAAAATAACCTAGCAAAATCGAAATGCTTTAGTGGGATGTGTGTTGCTTAGGTTGCTAAATTTCCTGTAGGGGGTGTCAAGAGCAGCTAGTGTGATTAAAAAGAAGGCAGAGGGTGCTGGGGGCTTCCAAAGATAGAGTGACAATCTCCCCCATAAAGTTCCCTGAGAGCATATTATGCCAAAGTCCAGTAAATGCACCAGCATCGGTTTCCCATCCCAGCTCCCTTTGGCTCCCAGAAAGAAAAGGGAAGCATAACTCCTGTTATTGCCCCAGCTGGGGTGGGGGCTGGGAGAGGGTTCTGCTATCTGACAGGAAGGGTGTCAGGAGCAGTTACATCCTGTTTGTGCTCTACCAGTCATCACGCTTCCCAGGATTTCCTTCTCTGTGGCCTTGTTTTCTTTCCAGATTTTTTCCTCAGATTCCCTGACATTCCTTTGTCTTTTGTTACAGCTCTGGGGCATAATCAAGCAAGGATACAAATGCAAAGGTAAATAAATGTTACTTGGTTAAAATTTAAAAATGTGACATTTGGGGCAGGCATCAAACTTGTCTGGTGAAACTCCGAAAACTCTTGGCATCATGGAGAACGTGGGTCTTTTGGGCCACTGGCTTCTGAAGAGTTAATGAGTCCAGGAAAGGAATCCCTGGAATTCTGGAGAGCCCAGACTGGAGTTTTTTAGCTTGTTACAAGAGCAAGCAAACCACCCTTATCAACCTGCATACGTGAGCCCCCATCTCTAAGATGTCTTGCTAATCATGAGCATATGGTTATGGTGGGAATTCTGAAGCAGGACAGGCCTAACTAAAATGCTGTATACAAGAACTATACCCTTCAAGGGACAAAAAAACACACACTCATTTCTGTAATATATACGCGTTTCTTTCCGCTCTCATATAGCTCTTCCTTTCTCTACTGAATCACAGATGATGAGAAAAGAAACCTGAAAACTTATTTTTATCGCTTTCAATGAATTCGTTCATATGTCTCCCTCATTTAATTGAAATTTATAAACAATTGAGTAACTATATATTTGATAAATGCAATACACATGCATATTAACAGGCATTTAGGAATGTGTTGCTACTTGCACATATATGATTATTATACTTTATTGGTGTTTAATTTAAAAAATTCCTGGATATTTTATGCATACTGTCTATACCGGTTCTTTGAAGAATCGGATAATGCTCTTGAAAAATAGAATAAACTACAAAAAGAAACATCTTAATCCCAGAATGCCTTCAGATTAATGTTATACCCTTGTGATGCCTTTTTCTCTCCAGCCCTCTGTCAGTATTTGGCCCTCGTTTTGCAGGAACAGAGAGCTTTCCTGAACCTTGATGGGAATCACCTTTTACTGCTCAAAAAAACTTCCCCTTTAGTTCTCTGTATCAGTTATCTTCGTCTAACTTTGGATTTTTACTTTCAAGCAGCAAAGATATTGCGATATCTTACTACTCAGCAATAAGTCATTAGTTTTATTCTGGTTTCTGTCTCTTATCTCCTAAAAGACCCACCCACCCACATACACACACACACACACGCACACACACACACAATTTTATGAAGATAAAAATCAATTAAACCCTTGGATCATCTTTGTACATATGATATTTTCTCTTAAAGGCACATGGAGTGAAAAAACTAATTAAAATACACTGAACATATTAAAATTTGATCTTTCCGTGATGTCTTTATAAGACCATTTGACACAAGACCATTTGGGGAAAAAATGGGTATTGGAAATAATTAGAATGGTTCTTCTCTTTGATGGTAAGAGAGAAGTATACTCTTTAAAATGATCATATCTGTTCAGTGAGCCTAACGGAAATGCAGGGCCCTCGTCATATGAAATAATTGTGTTGCTATCTTCCAAAGTGGCCAAAATTTTTTACCCCAAGTAGTAACTAATATTCTTTCTTAACTAAAGCATCCTAATGGGAAATGGCATGGAATCTGCCGCATGCCATTTCAAAGCCATAGTCAAATCTGGAACATGTTTATTGAGCATGTGCCCACCTTGTTTTCTGTGTCTATGCAAAGAAAGGAAGCAAAAGATACCGTCACTTGCCCTAGAAAAGGTTTTGGGAAATGAAGAAGAATGAAAAGTGCAGACAAATACTGCTTGGAGGGACATCTCGCTGTAAACAATCACTGTAAAAGAGACAAGAGTTGGTCCTGGGAGAGACTAGAAGCTGGGGCTTCTTGCCCTCATTCCGGCTCAGGGGCCTCTTTGGGGGAATCTGTCTTGGCCTAGGAAAGAACCCCAGTCCTTTATGACTTGCATTTAGTTTTGGGCAAAGGCAACTCCCCACTCAGGCTAGCCCCTGCTCGTTTGCTCCCCAGCGCTTCAATGAATTGTGTAGAGGAAGAAGCTGAACAAATGTGAGACTTTAGGAATGCCAGGAAGGCAAGAGTGACCCACTGGCCCTTTTCCAGCTGCTAGACACACTCTGTGTGCCTGAGCCAGACTCAGATTCAACCAGAAATGAAGATGGGGGAGGGGAGGCTGACAGCTCAAGCGCCACCCTGGAAGACCAGTCTGCACCAAATGCATGTGGTTCCCACTAATCATCTGTGATACTCTGGGTTTTTCAGACTGTGGAGCCAATTGTCACAAACAGTGCAAAGACCTCCTGGTTCTGGCCTGCAGGAGATTTGCCCGGGTGCCCTCCTTGGGCAGTAGTCCTGGCTCGCTGCCTGGAAGCCCCTCATTGCCCCCAGGTAATGTTCTTTACTTTCTCTCCTACCACGATTTCTCTCTGCTCACCTTCCCACACCTGGACCTTGGTTGGGTTCTGGAGCTGAACCCAGAGTCATTATGAACACCAAGACCTTCTTCAGGGTGAGCAGAGGTGGCAAAACCCTTGAGTCAAGCTTGTTTCCCTCTGCTTTCAGGGCTCACTAATGGGCAACTCACCTGCAACCAATTTAGTTCTGCCTCTTGTCTGTTCTTCCAGGATCTTGCTTGTCAAACTCCATTTGTTTGCGCCAACTTTGATGGTTTGCCATAAAGCAGTCAGATGTCGAAGAATCACAATAATCACAACAATCTTTCCCCTTCCAGTGCAGGATGAAGTGTTCGAGTTCCCTGGTGTTGCTGCTGGACACCGAGACCTGGACAGCAGAGCCATCACACTGGTTACAGGCTCTTCTCGCAAGATTTCTGTGAGGCTGCAGCGGGCCACCACGAGCCAGGCTACCCAGACCGAGCCTGTATGGTCTGAGGCTGGCTGGGGGGACTCAGGGTCCCACACCTTCCCCAAAATGAAATCCAAGTTCCATAACAAAGCAGCTAAGGACAAAGGCTTTGCCAAGTGGGAAAATGAGAAGCCCAGGGTGCAGGCTGGTGTGGATGTTGTTGACAGGGGCACCGAGTTCGAACCCGACCAGGATGAAGCAGACATGGGTGCGACCAGACAGGATGGTGAGGTCAGTGCTGGATCCAACCAGTGATAAAATCAGAAGTGGGAGGCTGAGGGGCTGAGATGAGCATGAGTGAGTCTGGGAGGCAGCCTGTTAGTTTTGAAATTGGAAATCAAGACACATCACTTTTAGTCTTGCTGTTGCCTAATTTTGTGACCCTGGGCAAATGATTTCTCCTCCTTGGACCTCAGTTTCATCATGGATAAAATTGAACCAGATAGGTTCTAAAATTTAGTAAGGGTTGCCATGTCTGTGTGCTGAAATGATATCTAGGGACCCATGTCTATGGCATGTATCCAATATACCCATACACTATACTGATCAGCTTAGTTTTCCAAGGTAGAATCAGGACTCAAACCCAGGGGAGGCAGTGGAAGCAAAAGACTTACAGACAGAGAAGGAGAGTTGGAAACTCTTGCCCCTACTGAAAAAAGAGGTTTCTGACAGCATCAGGGAGAAGGGAGTGGTAAGAATCAGAGACGTGGGGACCTCAAGGTTCTACAAGCCAGGTTCTGCCTCTACACAGAAATTTCACTCAAATCATCCAAAGTGAATTGGAAGCATATGGAATTGTTAGAACAAGCTGAAAATGTAAATTGATTCAAGATGGACTTAGATAAATTTGTCAATAGTCCATCGTGTATTAAGAAAAAAGGATTTAGGGAAATTGGTGTCATATTCCTAACCTTTAAAGCAATGTCATGGAGGGCAGCCATTGCTTCCCTACTGAATCATTCTCATAAACAGAATATTGGGTTAGGCAGAGATCCCATTGGATCAAGTCAGTGCTCTTTATTCTTATGGGTGGTCCTCCACATTCCACTCTTCAGGAGACCTAAACACACGGTCTCTCTCCATAGTTTCCCATGATGAGAAAAACTCCCATGACCTTTCACCAAAATTCCTCAAGTTCCTTCCTCACTGAAGACAATTAATAAGGAGGCCATACATTATCTTCAGTCTTATGGAGGTTATTATGAGTTCCTGCTGAGCCTTTTTTTTTTTTCTTTCTTATAACACCAACTTTTAAAAGCAGCTTTATTGAGATATAATTTATATACTATAAAATTTACCCATTTAAAGTATAGAATTCAATGGTTTTTAGTATATTCACATAGGATGCCCCCTTCAGGATGGAGCTCTCAGGATGGTTCCCACCTCATGCGCCATCTTTGAATTCAGAGCAGTACCTGCTTTTGTTTAACAAATAGTGGAACTAGCCGTGAGTTCACTTCTATTGGCTGAGCACCGTTCAAGTTACGGAAACCTTGCTCCTGGGATGGGAGAAATTCACAGCCTGTTAGGCGTAGGACAATCACTTACATGGGTAGGATTTCCTGCTCTCCAATCTCTATAAGGAAATAGAAACAAGATCTGGGTTTTTAAAAATTTAACTTAATTTTATTCTTTGAAAGCTGGATCTTTATATTCAGGTGTTCGCTTACCCTTTCAATTTTCTCATCTCATAAATCATAGAGATATTCATTGAACACTAATATTTAATTTTATTTGTGCTAATTAAAGAAAGCAGAATGTTCTTATGTAAAATGCATAGAGGATACAGTCTCACTTTCATCGATATCAGTAACAAATGAGAAGACATTTACTCTGGCTTGGGAAAAAAGCAAGAAGGAAAAAATGTGACAAAATTATACCAAGAGATGAATATGTAGGCAAAGGAGTTTTCAAATTTAAGAATTTTTCTGCCAGGCAAGATCAATGAATGGCCTAGGAGACATGATCTACACATTTTATTATTTAGGATCAGATGATGTTTATGAGTCCTATAAGTAAAACTGATAGACAGAAAAGACTGTGTTTGTAATCTGTACATTTCCTTTGGCAGAGTTCCAGGATTTGCACTCATTTTAAAATATAAGGGTGTAAACGTTTTCTGTGGTGGTGGATATAATTTCACCAATGACCATTCAGCCCCTTGGATGGCAGGGACAGGTCAGAATTAATCTCTTGGCAGTAAGAATATGTATATTTCTGTTATAATGTTTCTTTGTTTTCTGTTATCTTCTGCTAAATTAAATATAATCAACAAATATCATAGAAGGGCTAGAAAATGCTGGACTAAACAAAGTTGAATATGTTCATGTATATCTCTCTCTATAGCTATACATAGAGAGATATATATCTTTTTCCCTTACAAATTTTCTCAGTGCCCTTATACTAATTTACAATGTGGATTTCTAAGAGGGAAACTTCAACAAAGAACATTTCAGAGACCAACGTTTTGTGGGTCACCCTTTAGGGAGCACTATAGTAAGCATCCTTGTTGGACTCTGCATGGACGTCTTTAAGATTTCATGGGATGGGTGGACTACACAATCTTTTAATTCCCTCTAAATGTTGAGAGTACAAGGTATGGATCATTTGAGATATTTCCTCGAATTTATCTGATAAACTACTTTCTAGGAATATTTTTATTTTGTTCAATGAGACCCAGCCATACAACAGATTCTGATTCATATTGCAGGATGGCTGACTTCAGGCTGAGGATATTGAAGGCAATAACGTTGGCATTTAGAAGAAGCAAGATAAGAAACTCTGAAGAACACTTCAACTCTCAGGAACTTATCTGGAAGTTTACTGCCTTGTGCCACCGTGGGCTCTCCCTAACAGGACTAAGGGACAGAAGATTTATCTACCCTATGAACTATTTATTTCGTTCTCCCCTGCCCTGAGTCAGGTGCCGCGAAGATCATGTTCTGTAGTTGGTAATTTTCTCATGTATCTTTCTCTAGAGCCATTTGTATACGGGTCAAATGAAAGCTTTTGTGCATGTGCTTGATACTCATTCTCTAAACTCAGACTTTGCTTTTTTTGTGAGAATATTATTTCAGTATTTTTATAAACTTTTGGGAGGGAGTTTAACAAGGAGTCAATTTAAAAGTCTTTTCACGTGCTTTTTGGATGGGACCAGGACTTAGCATTTTTTTGAAGGACAAGGAAGCTCTTAAGATCCTGGAGTGCAGTGGTTCTTCTAATGATGATCTCTACAAGGAGAAGCTGTTTACATGGTTCTTACCATACAGTTGCTATTATGATGTGTAACAAGTCACACGTTTATATATCACATAAGTCTTACCAATTCTGCATCACTAGGAAGCTATGACACAGCCGTGAAAACTCTCCTAATATTTATGATTGCCATGGGGGATAACTAACTATACTGGCCCCATCTGACTAGGTTTAGCTATCTTTCTTAAGTCTTCTATTAAGACTACTGTTAAGAAATGTCACTAGAAATTTAAAAAATCAGTTCAAGCCTTTGGAAATAAAATTTAGGAGGAAAACAAACCATCAAACAAACCGCTTAGTGAAATGCAAAACCACCAGAAATTTTTAGAAACTCAAAATAGATTTAAGAATTTTGTTTGTTAAAAAAGAAAACTTTGGGGGCTGGCCCTATGGCTGAGTGGTTAAGTTCATGCTCTGCTTCGGTGGCCGGGGGTTTTGTCAGTTCGAATCCTGGGTGCAGACACAGCACCGCTCATCAAGCTATGCTGAGGCGGCATCCCACATGCCACAACTAGAAGGACTCACAACTGAAAATACACAATTATGTACCAGGGGGCTTTGGGAGAAAAATAAGATCTTAGAAAGAAAAGAAAAGAAAACTTTGTGTTGTGAATGAGAATCCCCTGTGCTTTTCCTAAGAATTTGCCATCTGTAATTAAAAAATAGTCATAGAAAGCAAATCATCACAAACCACCTTTGATTAACATTTCATTTAAACTTTTAAAGTATCAATATTTTAAATATCTTCCATTGACTCAAAATAACTAGACATGGATCTGTTTCTTACATTATGAGAGGAGACAGAACTTGGACCACGATGTTCAAAAACAGAGATGGAATTGAGCCTGTGGGTGAGGGGCATGATGCTCCCAAGTGACCGGTCAGAAACCATACCCTCAGAGGTACGCTGGTCCGCCTCTGGGAGTTTGTGTGTCTATTTCAGGTAAGGCTGAATTCATTTCTACTTGCCAGTCCAGTGAAGAAATGCCTTTCTTCTCTTTTTCCATTAGGTAGTTGAGGACAGTTCCGCTCAGCAAATACTTGCTGAGCACCTGCTTTGGGCAGGTTCTGTGCTAGATGCACAAAGACAAGCAACACTTGGTTTCTGCTCTCAGGAGCTGAGAGCCTGTGGGTGGTAAGGTGAGACAGTTTTTTTAAGATACAGTTCCAAATTTGCTAGAACTGGCTTAACTGTGCCATGCAGATTCAGAGATCAGTTTGCAGAGATATTGCAAATTCAATGAAGTTATTCATTGAGGGAGCTGTGATTAAGCTAGAAAATAAGAGAACACAGTTACCATTTGCAAGCACGGTGGAAGGCAAACAGCCATCCCCAAGTGCTGGTTCTATGTATGTACACTATCCTATCCATAAATGTGAGGAAATACATGTTAACAAAATTAAAAACAAAAAATGGCAATTTGACTATAAGAAACTTTTCTTGTGGTTTTTTTCTAATTTTAAGAAAATTCACGAAGACGCTTCTTAATAAATGTTGGACTGTTCTTTTTCTTCTCAAAACAATGATTGCACTTGCCACTTAGTTGGGATTGTTTTTGAGTTTTCATATATACGAAAAGTTTTATGTCGTCAGCTTTCCTGTTACAAAGACACTAAGTGTAACTTGAGTGAAAAATACACACACAAATAAAACAAACATGTGTGTGTATATATGTATATAAACTATAAATGTGTGTATGTGTGTATATAGAGAGATATATATATACATGTATATACACACACTACCATTATTACTTTGCAGAAGAGGAATTTTAGTCCATAATAAGCTGCTTTATAATTTTGATTATATCATTTACTCATAACCAATGGCGACTCTGATGTTTCCAATCTATCAATTTCCCACAATCAGTAAAATAAACAAAATAGGCAAACCCATGGTGGAGCAGAAAGAACTGTTAGAGCTGATTCCTCCAGACTTTTGTTTTATAGGTTTGATGATCATGGTCACATTTTTAGGTGAAAAGCAAAAGCAAAACCAAACGCTTAACAGTGAATATTATTAGGTACCAGAAGAGGGTACATTAGATGATGCGATTGTGTCTTCAGTGAAGGATGTGTAAATTGGATTGATGCTTTTTAAGATCTGCCTAAACCAGAGGGTGGCCCTAATTGGTATTTGAATGCTGTATTAAGGGCTGCCTCCTGAAGCAATAATGTCCCCAGATTTCCGTGGTAGCAGAGAGTCTCCAAAGGTCAGAGGGATTCACTGTCTAACAGCAGGACTCCTACAGAGGGGAGATGTCATTAATAGTAGGAAGCTTAACTATTCCTAAAATAAACAAATTGATTTTGCCAAAATACACAAGACTCGAGGATGACCGAGGAGGTAAATCCAGGCAAATGAAATTACCATAATATATCTTTGGCACGCAATCTGCAACCAGCTTGAAATCTCATCTCTGCCAGTTATGGTCATGAGATCCTGGGCAAGTCATGTACATCTATTTGAGCCTCAATTTCCTTATTTGAAAAAGAGATTTCACCACCTTCCTCAACTACTTCATAGAGTTGTTGTAAAGATCAAGTCGAATAATATATGTAAAAGTACTTTGTAAAAACCTTATAAGTAGGTTAATATGAGTCTGCAATTAAGCAGGGTTCTTCCCTAAAATTGGTCTTCAAGATCCCAGACTATATGTGTTACACAGCTGTGTAGTTTGGAGGCTCTGAACACAAGACTTAACTATGTTTTGTGTCAAAAAAAGAATTATTTAAACAAAGAAGTATAAATGAAAAATATTCCAAAGAGGTTTTCTTCTTCCTGGCACTCTGTGTGTGTAGGGTTAGGTCTGGTCTGTTTTCTAACATTGGCCATTCTCGCTGTTTGAAAATAGGTAGGCGAGATCAGGAAAGCAAATGGGTAAAATGCAAATGAGTTTAAAGAAAAATAGGTCAAACCACAAGTGTGCTTAAGAGGCTAGCTCTTGAAAGAATTTAGTTGACCTAGGAAGAAAGAGAAAAACAAAAATTAACTTTTTTAAAATAAAAAATACGCCATTTATTTGACAGCCAGAATGTATTTTACAACTATTGAAGGTGATGATGATAGGAAACTACTTGGAATTTAAGGCTTATCAGGAAATAGCTTCCTCCAGGCTGCGTCCAAAAACTGCCTGCTGAAGTCTCGAGAGTACTTGGACTTCAAACAAAAACATTTACTATTTTCTTTTAAAAATGTTACTGGCAAGCATGTTGGAATCCACATCCATTCAGAACCTAAGTGACTTGCAGTTTATACACAATAGCATAAGGAAAGCCTCACTTGGGGGCGTTCTACAAGGCAGCTGGCCTGAACACTTAAAAAATAAAATGTCATAAAAAACAGAAAAAGGAGAGCAGGGGTAGTTCTGGATCAAAAGAGATTTAATGAAACACAACAACCAAATGAAAAGTGGTAAACCTTAATTGGATTCGGAATCAAAAAATAAACAGAGCACTTTCGGGGGCCATTGGGGAAATTTAAATACGAACGATATATTAAATGACGCATTGAATGAATGTTAATGAAGTGCTAGTGTGACAATGATTTCACGGTTACGTAGGCGGTAGGAGGGTGTGTTTAGTTTTAGGAGATGCCTGCTCCCTGGTTAGGGATGAAGTATCAATATGTGCGATTTACTTTCAAATGGTTCAGTGAAAGAAAACAAGTCTGTGTAGAGGGAGAAAGCAAATATGGCAACATGTTAACAATTGTTGAAGCCAGGAAAAGAGTGCATGGATATGCACTGTACTCTTTCTTAAACTTCTCTGAAGGTTTGTAGTGAAAAAAAAGTTGAGGAAAAAAGAATTCATTACCGCTCTTTCTGGGAGTCATTTAAAAAGCGACGAGAAGAAAAACAAAAAACAAGTTTCATTTACAGAGAAACGAGGGGCGATCTGAAATCCTAGGCCCAGAAAAGGAAAGAGAGCCAAAAGCATCAAAGATTGATGGGAGAGGATTTAGGAGGACATGGAGAGGCGTTGCTACAGTAGATAGGATTCAATGGCTCCAATAAAAACAAACGAAAAACAAGCAGCAACAAATACCCTTCTCAGAGCAAGGGGGCACAGTCTGAAGTCCGATCCTCAATCCTTTGTTTACAACAGAAGGAACAGACATACCAGCTGGTGACAGGCTCTTCCTGGAAGCAGAAGGGGGAGAACACACAAATGCCGAGTATTTGCAAGAAGCGATCAGTCTGCAGGATAGCAGAGTGCAACAGAGGCTTTGTGATTAAAAAAAAAAAAAAAAAAAATCCCAAGTTTCCAATCCCTACCAGGATGTAAAGGCAAACTGAACTCACATGCAAAATGTAAGTTATAAAACTAATTTCACCTGGCCTGGACTCTAGCCTGGCTCCTTCCCTACACGAACTTCCCGTAAATTTTGGATAAAAACTCAAAATTAAAACAGAGTTAAGAAAAACAAAAACCCATGGGGCCAGCCCCGTGGCCGAGTGGTTAAGTTCGCACGCTCCGCTGCAGGTGGCCCAGTGTTTCGTAGGTTCGAATCCTGGGCGCGGACACGGCACCACTCATCCAGCCATGCTGAGGAGGCATCCCACATGCCACAACTAGAAGGACCCACAACGAAGAATATATACAACTATGTACCCCGGGGGCTTTGGGGAGAAAAAAGAAAAAAATAAAATCTTTAAAAAAAAAAAGAAAAACAAAAACAAAAACCCAGGGCATACTAGAGGGAAAAAGGACAGTTAAACAAACTCAGAAGATCTCTCACTCAAAAAAAAAAACCCAACCAACAAGAGTGTTACAAAGCGTATAAAAATCGTTTCTCTAAGAATTTCTCCAAGAATTAAACTAAAGAATTCCTGATCCACAGAAACCACGACAATAATAAATGCTTAATGTTG